TTTCGCACAGCATCAATACTTTCCGGAGTAACAACTGAAGTTGCAGAACCTTCACGAATTTCATCAGGGAGAGATCTACAACCTCGATTAAATTCAAAATACGCTTGACAAACTCTGTTGCTTGATGTATCTTCATCGTCAAAATAATTAAACAAAGTTCGTCGAGTTAATTCACGTCAAAAATTTTAAAAAAAAATCAAACCCTGGAAATTTTTCGCGATTTAATTCTGATACTGTAAGCAACAGCGCTCATATACCGAGATATTCTGAGCATTTATAACTTCAAAAATGCCAAACTATGTGATGAAGTTTTGAGTCGTCAGATTGTAAAACCAGAATTACCAATTACCAAAATATAAAGGGTAACCCCCCTATTGTAAGAAAATTAAATGAGTTATAAATTTTTTTACTCATTCCGTGTGCATTTTTTTATTATTTACTGTGACGTTTTCAATAATTACATGAAACGGAATTCCCTAGCCGCCGCAAAATAAGGTAAAATGTGTCGATTTCGGAGATTTATTCAAAAAACAAATTTCATGGTATGATACAAGTAAATTTTTAGTACCAAACGCAAGGAGATAAAATCTTCATCACTGGCTGAAAAAATATATTGGCAAAAATTTTACAGTTTTTTTGTGCACACAGTGATATACGTGATTTGTTTTTCAGTTTTTCAAAGCTTTTTTTTTTTTCTAACTGGGAAAATCTAGTAAAAATTGTATTCTTGTTCAGATAATTTAGTAAATTCAAAGTGATTTCATTTTTTCGTTATGTGTTTCTTAGAATTTTAATTTTTTTTTGCCAAAAGCCTTCAATGCGGACATATAGTTGTGAATTAAGCGGGGTAAAGCAGACCTTGTTTAATTTTTATAATCTATGGCTATTGCAGATTCCTTTTGTTGTTGCGCCAACACTGCGCACTTTCCCAGTATATGCATTTCTTTATGTGAACTTTCTGGCCAAATCTACACAAATTTCTTAAGGCAGAACAAGAAAAAATACAGCAATTACAAAATAAACAAAAATTTCGTTAATTCGGTACTACCTTATGGAAATAAATATTTGTAAGTTAACCAAAGTTTATTGGTTAACAGAAAAGTTATGTATGTGCAGCAGCTGTAAAGATTTTAACAATAATAATAATTGATGAAATGGTGAAGAGAGTTGTAAAAACAGAAAATTTACAATTCGGTATTTCAATACCATACGCTTGGATTAGGTTCTTTGAATGTGATTGGTGACCAACCGAAACCTGGCTTTAGGAGTTCTCATGATGGCTAAAGGCGTTACTCTCAAAATCTCAAGATGTCAGCAGTATATACTAAAGCTGATATAAATTTTATTTAATACAATACTCGTAGTTGTTTCTAGTGAACATGATATTGATGTACGAAAGTTTCTTAACTGCCCTTTAATTATAGGAAAATATTTCGTTGAATGTTATCCTTGGTATACACGTAATATGCCTCCTTCGCCCTGTTATCAATCGGTCAATTATCAGAAGATGTTCTGGAAGCCGGAGACAAAGATCTTCAAGAAAACTTACAGGGAATGCTTTTCTCGCGAATGTAGCAAAAAATATCGAATCAAAAGATATTCAAAAGGCTTTTAATCAGTTCCGACCCCTTTATTTTTACCAAAAGAAAACTACCAAAAAAAGTGCAGGATTTGCCGTAAGGAGCCTCAGAGATGATCGCCATGGAGAGCGGCAATAATAATGAAGTTGATTATGATGATGATGAAGGCGATGATGGCAATTCCAAGCGAGATGATTATGACCATGGATATGTATATGGTGGTGAATAAGCAGTTTTTATATTTTAAATAAAATTGAGCCTTAAATAAATAAAAGTTTTTGGATACCGATGTATGGCAAACATTTTTTTGTGAATTATAATTTTTCTACTTTTTTTTAATTAATTAACTAAAAGAAATAATTTCTACGTAACCAGAAGGCTTGTGGGATCTAATCCCCATTTTGAGCACCCTTTACACCAATGTGCGCCGGTGCTTTAGTATGTAAGTGAAATAGTTTTTAATTGATATTTTTTTTAAATAAAGAAATAAATGAAAATACATAGAAGGAGTAGATGTTTGAAGCGATCGTGATGACTTTAAATTCATCGCTATGTGATGCACATTTTTTTCCAAACTGAGATTTTAGTGCAACTTATATTATGAAGATTGCAGTCTTGGTGCCCTGCTAAATCCACAATAAGAGAGATCCTACTATCTGCACCATCTACCCTGAATATAACCTTCTTCAAGTAGTAGTCTAGTAACTTGATTCTTTTTAATGCTTTTTTGGGGATTTTAAAATATTTTAAAATATAATCAGTTTCGTTTTATATTTATTAATAAAGTCTCAGGGTCTCCAAAAAAAAATAAAAAAATGTTTGCCTTTTTTTTTAAATTTGTTGCTGCGCGGTACTGATGTGAGCATCTTATATAGAGGGGATACCTTTCCTCGGTGTTTTGGTCGCTTGAGGACAAGAAAAATAGGAAAATTATTATCTTTCTGTGGGCTTATCAGTATCGTTGGAATAAAGAGAACTAATAAAGAGTAGAATAAGGTATTGCAAATACATTTTGAATATTCATCCGGGCTGATGATAAGTACGTTGTTTTGAGAAAAATGCGTTTAAAGTTTCAAAAAATTGTAAGCTACCTCGCGGTTCAGTTTGAACTACTACGAGAAGGTGCTATCACCTCGCAAATATTAAGTTTAACAGTGTATTCTTATAGTGTATTCATAGTACTTTTGAAAAAAGTTAATTCTTAAAAGCAAGTTACCATACTACCACCTTAACGTCGCATATATGCTACTTTAAATGTGTTATGTGAAAGATTGAAAGCCTTTATAAGTCAACTGATTAGGCGTAATGATTGTGGCTCCAGTTCTCGTAAATCCACTATCGACTAGATTCTTATAACACGTTGAAAAATACTTGGTTAATTGGATACCAATTCTTCGCTTTTAATAAATCCACCCAAATTGAAAAGAACATCTCCGAGCCGTTCGAAATCAAATGAGGTTTATAGCAAGGTGATTCGCTACCGTACTGTAGAGTGTAATAAGGATTGCTGATCTTAATTAATACAACACCATTTTCATTTAAAATACGATGATGTTGGCACACGCAGAAGATTCTGATATCACTCGAGCCATTAGTGTTTTTTTTTTTTTTTTTGACAGATTATAGTAAAAGTCAACACAATTTTGTCTAACAGCGGAGCAAAAAAAAAATTAAGTTTCCGTATATTGGAACCCACATCAGTGTCAGCTTATAGATCAAACAAAGAATAACTCTTGCTTCTAGGCTAAGTAGGCAATGAGAAAGTAAAGCCTTTCTTCAACGAGCAAAAACTATACACTAAAAATCTGTTTTTATATCCGCCCTTTGTATAGCCGTATAGTCCAGTAACGTTGACGATGACGAACAAAGGTGATCAACGGTGATCAAAAAGATTCGGGAAATATAATCTTATTGTAGGCTAGATCTATGACTTTGTAATAAAAAGATGAAAACACGAACTGTAAGAGCTATTTTGTTCATAACTTTTTAAAATACTTTTTCCATTTTTGACTAGCCCACAACTTCTAAGCAAATTATTCAAACATTGAAATTAGATCATGTGCAAAACTTCACCTTGAATAAAGAAAGATTATGGCTTATGCATTGTTACCTCTTAAGCGATCTTCAGGCGTGCACTAGGAATCAGAGTGACTAAAAATTGTAAGCCATCTCCAAGCGCCTAATGGATTTTTAAGTGCATCGGATAGGAGAAAAACATAGAGAATAAAAAACGAAGATGATTGTTTGTTTGGGATTTTATGGAAATTATGTTTTAATTGAGCGAATGCGATTTCGACTTGGAAGGCCAGACCTTCTTGGATAGTCAAAAAAGTATACAGATGAGAAACTACATGCATGGGTCAAAGAAGATTGTTGTCGAACGCCAGAAGAGCTCACTTGTTAACCTCTCAAACAGTCATTTCAAACGTTGGAAAATTTTGCCTCACCAGCCTTAAGTCCCACTTTCCCTACATACCATTTTAATGGCAGTTGATGTTAAAAGCCCTCACTGGAATTTCCTTTATATTAGAATAGCTTCATTCGTAAAAAATTTGGAAATTTGTAGAAAGACGAAAAAGTCTTGTTATTTCAGGCGGGCAGTACCTTGCCAAGGACTTGATTTTGTTAAATAAAATTCCAATTAAAAAAAAATATATTAATAAATTAAATTATCTTCTTCTTATTTCAACTTCAGCACATTTTAAATCACCCAGACTAAGTTTGTTAATACCAAATAGCAGTTGGCAGCCGCGGTAGCCGAGTAGTTAGCATTACATAATGCCATTCGGAAAGCTCAAGTTCAAATCCCTGTGCGATCCAAATCCAAAAGTTATAGATTATTAATTTAATTAAAAAATCGAGTTGGATTTTCTACTTACGGTCACCCCTTGGCAGGGGATGTCAACCCCTCCGAGTGTAATTCTGACATGAAATAAAAATTTCTCGCAAAAAAATCATCAACCGTTCGGAGGCGGCTTAAAATTAACTTCAAGACGCAAAAATAACAAATTGGAGGACGAGTTCGGCGGAAAATAGCTCCAGCGGTAACAAAGCGTCAATTATTTATTTGAAATAATAGTTTTAGAGTAAAACATTTAAAAGATATCTGTTTCTCATGACCCGCCATTCTGCGAACCTTATGCGGATGGTGTTTAGGTTGGGCTGAAAGAAGATTTTATTTTATTTTAATACGATTATATGACGCCAAAATAAATAACTTTATTATATAACCACTTTTTTGTAAATGGATTTACTGATCTCTTGCATAGCCTTTCTTTAGCATGATAAGTACATATATAATTTAGATTCTTAATTTGAACAGCAAACTTTGACTCGCAACATTTTTTTTTAGGAAAATATTCACGTTATTAAATTGTAAAAATAAACTACTAATATTACCTCTTCTCTTCATAATTTCAGATGCTGCTGCAGTGGTTCGTGATTTGTCTGCTGGCCATGCCCGTGTTGACCGGCAACGATCGCAAGTGCCCCATGGAGTGTACGTGCAACGTGGATGAGCAAAATCGCCGACAGCTGCTTTGCACAAAAGGTGAGAGTGGCTGCAAAAAAAAAAAAACAAAAAAAGCAAAAACAAGAGACAACAAAAAAGAGTGCGTGTTATTTATTATTCATGTTGAATTAAAAAACAGTATGAAGTGAAATTTCATCATTAAATACAGATTATGAATGGAAGAAATTCCTGCATTGCATTGTGTAGCTTGTAGTTTTGCGTGAGAACTATGCTTTATTTGAACACCCACCGTAACCAAACCATCTCTGTATTGTCCTTGGCATAATAAAGGAGATAACTTAAATGCAATAATACAATGGTAAGCACCGCTGGAGAAAAGAACGAAAGAAGGAATCGCACAAAAGATTATACTTTTATCGTGAAAATAGTGAAACGCAAAAATTGTAAACTGTTTGTTTCGTACAACAAAAGCAAGTATAAGAAGTGTATATGTGAGCATGTGTATGTGCGTGTAAGTGCATAATTTCAGCCACAATGAACCGCTTCCGAACAATATCCTCCCGCCACGGTTGTGGTCCACTAAAAGGCGTTCACACAATGCAAATGCGAATGAGAATGCGAATGGCGAGAAAAATTTTACAATCTTCTTTAATACTTTGCATCCTTATGAGAATCCGTGTAATGTTTCCCTCGAGTAGCGGCATCAGCAGAACTGGCGTGGCAACAACCGATGCGTTGCTGATGCGCGCAAAAAAAAAGTTTCGCATAAAAATCATGAGCGGAAATTGTTGTTAGCGAAAAATTGGAACGAAACAGGAATTCCCAAAAAAAAAAAATTAAAAAGAATGACATGAAAGTTGGAAAATTAAAAATGCAAAATGCAAAAAAAAAGAGAAAACAAAATTTAAATGCAAACAAACAAGAATTTTGCATATTCTAACACACACACACACGCATGCAAATTATTCATAGGTATTTCAACATATATACATGCCCTGCAGGGAGAAGTTAGGCTAGTACGCGAAGCTTCTAGTTAAATACTAGCAGTTCACTGGCAGTAAAAGTAATAATAATTTTCACATACAGCTGTAATGTTATCATAAAGAGTGTTTCATTTTGAACTTCCCTACTCTTTTAAAGGAAAAAAAAGACACAGAAAATTAAAATTCAATGGGGAATATTTATTATTATTCGAAATAACATTTCTTATTTTTTGAAGATTATCTCTTTCAAATGTAGGTAGCTACGGCTCAGATAGACCATCTGCTGAGCCAAAATTTCGATGATTCATTCGAATATTTCAACTGGTAATACGGCATCATTTTTGAATGAATATGGACCTATGCTTCCATCGGCCGACAAATCACACCCAATCTTTTTTTTTTTCTGGATAAAATGACAGCTCCTGAATCTCAGGTTGCTCTTCGTCCCAAATGTGGCAATTTCGCTCCTTTACATACCAATTGAGCCTCATATCGGTATTATCGCTGAAAAAACTTTAGCTCGAAAACGGCGGATCTCCTTGGAGCTTTTTAAGAGACCTTGGAACGAAGGTATGCTTTAGTTCTTGTAAGCTGTATTTTATACACTTTCAAGTTAAGATCTCGACGTAAAATGCCCCACGTCCTAACGTCAGTCCGAGTTTCCGCGAACGTCTGTACGCGGTTTTTTTGTACACTCTCAGCTACGGCAGCTATATTTCTTGCAAACTATTGTATACTGTCTTCGGGCGTAAGTCTTCTCAAGATGAAATGCAAAAAAACAGCGCTCTATTGAGTTGCGTAGATACCGTTGCTTTCTACATCATAACGATAGCTTATTGGTTAGACGATATCACTACTCGTATACTCCGTTCAATTCTCACTTTAAGCAAATTCATTTTTATTTTTATTGTCATCATTTTCTTTGAGAAAGGTCATTTCTATTTTTAGTTTCACTCTTTTTTTGTGAATTTGAAATTCAAATTGGCTAAAAGAACTGGTATGCAACTAGTATAAAGCTGGTTCATAGTCGAATAATTGACAGTTGACAGCAAATCAGCTCGGTTGTACAACCAGTAACTTTTCCTGCAGGGCACATACGGACGTATTAACATACAAGCCATCAGTACAATTGTCCTTATGCATATAAGTATGTGCGTATATGTATATGCATATTTGGAAATATGAATTTTGCAGTGATGACTTAAAAACTCAAGCGCACTTGCCAGTGCGCGGCAACTGAGCACAATGCAATGTAATGGCAGGCGTGGCAGCAACGTAGGCGTGTTCGTGCGGCACTTCGTTGTATATAAATGTATTAAAAATTTCATTCGTTATAGTACTTGCAACATGTATGTTGCAACAGAAATAGAAGCAAATTTAATGAAAGATGCACTTGCCACAGTTGAAACTTCCTGCAACTGCACAGTGGATGATGTATGTTTGTATTCTGTTGTTTATGTGGGAATTTTCAAAAAAAAAATAAAAATTTTGTGTGTTGCTCTGTTGTTGTTGTGCGAATTTTTAAAAAATTTTCTTTACCCACATCACCGCGCACTCTCTCGCATCACCAAACCGCAGGGTTTTGCATTTTTCAAATTAATCCGCATACAAGCTTAGATTTATGTCTCGGTTCGCGTATAATTTTTACTAGACAGCTGCTTGATGGAGTTTTTTTTTTTTTTTTTTTTTTGTAGCTGACATATGCAAATCTGGTGCATTTATTTACATACATACACTCTGAAGCCTGTGAGTTTGTGCAAAAAATGCTTCTGGTTCATTGGTTAGTTCTATGCGTAAAAAAATAATTAGAACTTAGCTTTACGATGCTTTCTAGGATAAAACCAGTTTTAAGCCATGGTGGCAGAAGAGTAATCTTTGTTTTGAAAATGAAAATGAGCTTTTGGCAATGTTTTTAAATATACAAAGAAATGAGTACCGATATCAGCATAATCGCTGCTTTTTAAATGGCTGGACAGTAAACATGATGCCGCATATTTCTTAAAATCTATTTTCAACCACTCAGCATTTAACTTATACAAATTATGACTTAAGTGTTTGAAGTATTCGTCAACTCTAATGTAAAGATAAGTACCTGTATAGTATTGTGATTGTTCGGCGATAGACGACTTTACTATTCAACTGTCTACTTAGTCTTCTGTAGCACCTGTTGCTAAGACGAACTCTTCTAAGTTTCATGACGGGTATTGTTGTTAGTGATGATAGATACACGGAATCATCTGTGACCTCAAAGTTGCGAGTGTGTTCAAAAAGTATCACGAATTTCGAATTTTCGCTGGTTATGTATAAGCGAATTTCGATTTTTTTTTTGGCGTTATGTTGGTACTCATGTCTGTCACTTATGCCGACAAGCTCGGCTATTTTGAATGTTCACTTAATTGTTGACAGCTGCTTTGCTTGCACGTGTTTTGGATGGTCTTCGATTTTTAGCTATTGAAAGAAATGGATCAAAGAACCTGTATCAAATTTTGTATGAAAAACGAAATTAAGTGCGCGGATCCACTCCAAATGTTGACTCCGGCATACGGAGAAGCTACCTTGGACCGAAGCAACGTTTATCGGTGGTACAAAATGTTCTCAGAAGGCCGAGAAGATGTGAACGACGAAGAGCGTGACGGACGCCCGAACACTTCAACAATAGGCGAAAAAATTTATGAAGTGGAGAATATTGTATTGCCACAGGGTAGAACAGTCAATAAGGAATCTTACCTTCAAGTTATGCGCAATTTGCGCGAAGCAATCCGCCAGAAACGACGGATTTGTGGAAGAACAAAAATTGGCTTATGCACCACGATAACGCCCCTGCTCACGCATCGTGAGCTTTTTCTGTGACTTTTTCTTGTTCCCTAAACTAAAGAGGCCCATGAAAGGATGACGTTACGCTACGATTGACGAGATAAAGACGGCATCGAAGGAAGAGCTGAACAAGATAAAAAAGAAATGATTTTTTGAAGTGCTTCGAAGATTGGAAGAACTGTTAACACAAATGTACAATATAATGTCTTATGGGGACTACTTTGAAGGGGAAAAAATATATATTTTTTGAACACACCTTGTATGCCTGCCAGGCAACAAATTACAAAATGTGCGTTTGATATAAAGAGATATTTCTCCTTCACTAAGACTATGCATCATCCTTATACAAGTTAACTACTAGTTCTTAAAAGGATTTTGAATTTCTACTTCGCCAATATACAAAAAAATATTATAATTGCGGTCGCCCCTAGGCAGAGAATGTCAACTTCTCTAAGTATATTTCTGACTTGTAATAGAAGCTACATCTAAAAAATTAATCGGACGTTCCAAGGCCGCTCAGAATAAACGGTTGACGAATAACACAAATAGAAGAAGGAGCTCGGGCGAAAATCGTTTTAGCGTTTATAGAACGCCTATTATATATTATTATGAAAAATAAACAAGAATGAATTAGTCCGCAACCATACTTAAACTGTGAACCTCAAGCACGACAGCATAACGATGCACTGAAAAAAGAGCTCAGCTGAAAAAAGCGACCTGGTGGTGGTGGCGGTGAAAAATATTATTAGTCGCATTACAGGTTAACTGCCCTAAAAATAGTCAACTGATATGATCTTATCTTCAATATATTGCTATTTAAATAAAAGTTTCTCATACTAGTCTCAATTTGGTTGGTGAGCTGTGCGTGATAATACTCCATCTTTGACCATTTCGAAGGGTAACTCGTTGCTTACGATACCCATATGCTCCGGCATACAATTAAGGTGACCCCAGTTGGATAGTATTCTATCATATTTAAGCATAGTGAAACCACTTTCTTCTACAAAAAAGTACGACCTAAATGGCGGCTAGACTGTGTGCATATATAAATTCAATTTAATTATTCTCTCGTGTGAGTCAGCGCACAGTAATTGCTTTGCCTAAATTATTTTGATTTTGAATAATTTTGGTTTGGCAACCCGAATCTGATCCCTTGTTGTACGTAGTAAACTGCGGTTTCTACTCCATCTTTCTAATCATAGCCATCATAAAAGATATACAAAACCTTGTTAGGGAACATGAGTCCTTAGCTACATCCCTCTGCTTCTAATGTAGATGCCGGAAGCTTGATGAAAGTCAGGCGTCTATTCAAAATCTTAAAACAAGAACAAATTAACTGTGTCACTGCTTAGCTGACTTGAGGCATGTAGCCTTGAAACAGTAAGAGTTAACATTGCTGATATATTCCGGTTACAATTGGAAGCTTATTTGCGCTTCAAAATATTAGGTTGTCAAATATTCTGCTTTTTTGTCTTTTGAATTTCGCGGTTATGTACAAAGCGCTACAGAGCTCGTATCTGGCAACACTATATATTATTTGAAAGGTCTTGACATAACCTACAAAACAACGCTATGCATGATTAGTTTGGATATTCACAAACGCCGAGATTCGCGCTATTTTAAAGTTATTCTTCGTTAAAGGCAAATCCGCTAGAGAAACGTTCCGTGAGATTAATTGTGTTTTGGGGGCTGGTATTCTATCACTTCGAACCGCGGAGGAATGGTTTCGACGTTTCAGAGCCAGTGAAAAAGACAGCCGGCGGAAGACCTGTGACGACAAATACCGATCAAATCATGGAATACATCGAGTTAGACCGGCATCTCGTGACACCGCCCAGGAGATGGGAGTTAGTCACCAAACCATTTTGAGCCATCTGCAGAAGGCTGGATACAAAAAAAAGTTTGATGTTTGGGTGCCGCATAATTTGACGCAAAAAACCCTTCTGGACCGAATCAACGCCTGAGATATTTTGCTGAAACGGAACGAACTCGACCCATTCTTGAAGCGGATGGTGACTGGCGACGAAAAATGGATCACATACGACAATATCAAGCGAAAACGGTCGTTGTCAAAGGCCGGTGAATCGCCCCAAACAGTGGCCATGCCGCGATTGACGGCCAGGAAGGTTTTGCTGTGTGCTTGGTGGGATTGGAAGGGAATCATGCACTATGAGCTGCTTCCATATGGCCAGCCGCTTAATTCTACCATCTATTGCGAACAACTGGACCGCTTGAAGCAGGCGATCGACCAGAAGCGTCCAGAATTGGCCAACTGGAAGGGTGTAGTGTTCCACCAGGACAACGCCAGACCACACACTTCGTTGATGACTCGTCAGAAGCTACGGGAGCTCGGATTGGAGGTTCCGAATTTTTCGCAAAAAAGGAGGGGGCTTTTGCGAGGAAGGTATTATGAAGTTGCCGTCTAGATGGAAACAGATCATCGATTAAAACGGCGCATATTTTAACTAAATCCGATCACTGTAACACTTTTTATAAAGCATTGAATGAAAAGCAAAAAGGCGGAAGGGAGATATTTGACCATTTTATGCCGTCTCTTTTGAAAATATTCTTTATTCAAGTTATCAAACATATTACTTAGGCCAGCATCCGATAATATTCTTCTTTCTTCTAGACAAATACAATTATTCTCATGCAATTGTTAACAATGTAAACATTTTTTAAAGTGATAAACACGTGTAATAGAAATCATTTATTTATGACTAATTCAAATCCTTTTGATATCGTACATTTCGCACTCAATCAGCTGCTACCTCTAAGCTCGTAAATTCTCCATTCCTGCCAATTGCAGACCACTTAAAAAAAAAACATTTTACCAAGACCATAAAATACCCATATAAATTCTGATACAAAGTCATTCATTAATAAAGGTCCATTGGCATTTTACGTGCAAGAATGTGCATAACAATAAAGAATAATATGTAATAATAAATCAATTTGCAATAATCCTTAATACCCAATTTATTTTACAACGCCCGCATTGCCTTTTCAAATACTTTACTTCACTTCTTTTACTTTCATTTTCTTCTCGCTTTTTTTATTTTCCAGGTGGCCTCAGCGCTATACCCGTGAATCAAATCGATGAGGATGTGCGCGTTATTATCATCAAAGGTCCAGGCAACACCATCAATATTGGTCAACTTTTTAAGAAATTCTCTAATCTGGAGGTGTTGCGCATCACAGACTCACAAATACCCTCAATAGGCACCGAAAGCTTTTGGGGTTTAATAAAACTTCGTATAGTGGGTGAGTAGAGTATGCAATGAAGAATTGAAAATAAAAATAAAAATTTATGTAAAATAAAAGACAAAATAAAATTGTAAATAAAAAATATCATAAAAATTAAAAGAAATAAAAATAAAAAAGAAATATATATAACATTTATAAAAAGACTAAAATAAAAATGAAATAAAGAATAAAAGTGAAAATAAAGTCAAAAAAATAATCAATAAAAAAGGAGAAATGGTGCTGTTAATTTAACAGCAGAATGTTATACGTGGGTTGCCTTTTATATTTTGTTGTTAGAGAACAAAAACAAATATTAATCATTGAGGTCTTTACACCTTTGCATTCATTTGAACCAAATGTCGAAGCACTTTTGTCACTCTGATTGGGATATCTCCAAAACATGAGTTCGGAATGCATAAACTATCTTTTCAGCTGTCGAAAAGCTTTATCCCCTCAATGTATTTTTCAAGTCAGGTTTAAACGGTGGAAAACTGATCAAATTGATGCTTTGAGTGTTGAGTTATTTCAGTCGATGTAGAGGTAGAAGAGATGGCATTGTTGTGGTACAGAGTCATCCATCTTCGGAGGTTGGGTTTCCTGATTTCCTGAAAGACAACTGGCAAAAACATGGTTATGTTTAGGATTTACTTTTCTGCGTTGTTCTGGTGATGCGGAAGAGTTTCGTGTGCGAACAACGTTTTTTCGATTCGGCTCATCTTTAAACAACCATATAATCAACTGCTGTTTACTCTCGTGTTCATAAGCGTTAATCCATTATTGAGCACCTATCACGTTGTTAGCGACGTGTTTCGAGGAATCGCTATCGTATAAATTGAACATTTACTTTGACAATTGAGACTCTGTGCGGAATACAACGTGTACGGATTTTTTCACAGCCAAGTCTTCTTCCACTATTGCCCATAGTTGCTTCGATCTCTCGATGGATTACATGACGATCGCGTAATATCAGTTTTCGCACATCGCCAATAATTTCCAGAGTAACAACTGGCGACCTTCGTAATTCGTCTTTGAGTGATATACGACCTCGAATGGTTTCACCATACCATCGATAAACACAAGTCTGTGATGAAGCTTCTTCGCCATGAATTGATTAAAATCTATCGATACAATGTTACTAAGCTAGTCCGCGCCGAAAGTTGCAAAAAATAGTCTCGCGAAAATGTTCTGAGTAAACGCACAATCAAAAACGTCACATTTGTCGGTAAAGTCGACTACCAGATTGCAATACTAGAGCTGCTGCAGCGATTTTCCGCCGAGCTTGTTAAATCGCAAAGTATAATAAGAAACCCTCGTGTAATTGGGGCCTGCTGTTTACACTGGGCCGACGCTGAACGGCTAATGGTTTTTTATGAGAAGCTTTGATTTCCATGTCAGAAATATTCCCGATGGTCTTGACATTCTCTATCATGAGCGACCGCAAACAGAAAAATTCACTTATTTTTGTATTAAAATTATCTTTATTGGTTCGTTTAACCAGGACTCCGACCCTGGCCTTTAGAATGACAATACACAATGCTGACCACTCGACTATTGCGGCCGCCAATTTGCTCATATAAATAAATGGCAACACTGTAAATGAAAAATATATATTTAAATAAATAAAATCCGAAAGTAAAAATTTGGTTTTACGCTCGCTCTCAATGACAACAATCAATCAAAAATACCAGAATGAAAAAGAAATAAACCAAATCCATTTATATAGAATTCGACAGTGGCAAAAAGCAAACCGTTCTTCATTTTAAGCTTCCTCTTTTGAGAAAACACAAATGGTTAAACACATACAGAAACATACAAGCACACATTCATACGTACAGCTGCTACATATAATTTCGACATAAAATTCGGCCGGCAACCACAAAAAAAGGACATGAACTTTATGTAGTGACAGCGATTACAAGGATTCAATTTTTACAAACCGACAAATAAACATTCAAAAGACAAAAAAATGCGCTGAAAAAAAGAAGAGAAAATGAATAATCGAAATGGGAAGATTGCATAAAGGAATCATAAAATAAATGCCGAGAATTGTGTAAAAAGTGGCCGAAAAGTGAAAAGAAAATTTAAAGCGATTTTATGTTGCAAAAGGGATAAAATGAAAGTGTGAGTTTGGTCCACTTTGAGGTGGAATTTACACGAAAACCTCTCTACGCTCGCCCATTTCACATTTCGCATTGTCAAATTAACAAGTTCACATTTAACCAAAATGAAAGGCAAATTATCTTGGAAAAAATAAAATATTCAATGGTTCAATGCACTTAGCAAGAAAAAAGAATTCAAAAACAATAAGATAATTCGAGTTATTGGTTCGTAAATTATATGAAACAATAACTAGCGAGTTGTGGAATGGTTTACAGTACTTGGATATGGATGGGCTCGGGCAAGATATTTTTCCATAGTACAATAAGTATAGCGAGTCGGCCACAAAGAGATACAGAGATCATCGATTCAAGAAAAAGGTATACCAAGTGATGGCAAGAGCACAAATTTGGCATGACGCGCGAAGCCTTAAACTTGTTACTCAAAAAACTGAGCTGATTTTTGCTAACAAAGGAGCGCACGCCTATCGAAATAGATATGAGAATAAGAAGGGAGAATCCATGAACACGAAAGGTTGTCAATTACTCGACTCGAGGTTTATCTACAACATGCTAAATTCCAGCTAAGCAGGTTGATAGCAAACTTCAGAGAAAAATGGAAAATATTGATGTCAACAACACTGCGCGTCCTGCTCTACGACGCAAAGTTATGGGCAGACTTATTGAGGAAAAATAACCGTCATAGAAAAATCTACTGCACAGTTGCTCTGAGGATAGTATCAGCATAACGTACAGAGTGAAACGACTCTGTATCCGTAATATTTGAAAGTCCGCCCATTGACTTATTGGCGCTGATAATTATCAATACAAATACTCAGTGAACGCCAAATTGCATATTGATAAGAGCATTTCTAAGTAGTTCAGAAGATTCCAGACCGGACATTTTTCCGTAGGGGACGAGGCCCGAGAAGGTCGACCAAAATCTACCATTTCTAAGTAGTTCAGAAGATTCCAGACCGGACATTTTTTCGTAGGGGACGAGGCCCGAGAAGGTCGACCAAAATCTACCACTGAAGACGTCTGTAGCTCTGGTGAAGTCCAAAATTGACAAAGACCCACGATTGACACAAGAAATAATCGCTAATAGACTGGGCTATTGCCATGGGTATATTCCGTCTATTAGTAATTATCTAGGATAAACAAAGAAATCCGCTCGACAGATACCACGAGTTTTAAATGCGGCCCGAAAAGAAGCTCGTTTTTCCTAAACAAATTCGAAAATGTCTAGTCTAGCAACTTTAGGAAAGTTGTTACTGGTGACGAATCTTGGTTCCATATTTATGATCCAGCAACCAAACAGCAGGCCAATGTATGGAGCCCAATAGAAGCAAGCCCCCCTTTAAATCTCAGCAACAGAAATAAGCACCAAAAGTAACGATGTCGGTTTACTTCCCTCGTGCTAATCTACTGCTAATCTACTGGAAAAGAGCCAGACGGTAACTGAAAAATAGTACACCGAAGAGCTTTTACCAAAAGTATTTAAAAATTTGTTTGAAAACAGGAAAAAAGAGGATTCGCGGCGCTACTTTTTACATCGTGACGAAGCGGCATACAACACGGCTGAAATAATAAGTAAATTTAATGCGATCTGTGATCGAAGAAATACGTCAGGCATTCCCCGGATACAGCATCTTGTAATTTCTAAAGGAAAGGTTATTAAAGTCAAAGATAATACAATATAATTAATGCTAAACTTGATAAGCTCAAAAAGCAAGATTTTGAAGACTGTTTTCAGAATAAGATCCATAGGCTTAAGAAATACGTTGAAATCAATGGCAATTGTGTAGAGATGATATAAAAGGACAAAGATTATGAATAAATACGAAAAGAACTTTTTTGGTCACCTTAACGAACTTTTGTTAATGCCCTCGTACAAGAAATGGAGAACGAAAGTTTCAATATCGGAGTCCACTCTTGTAGGCATCAAAGAAGTAATCTGATCAACGATATCTAGAGAGTATACTGAGTTTATTGAAAAGCATATTGGCGGCTATATACATATCTCCATCTCATTCACGGTGAAAATTGTGTCATCGTCATTACAGTGCTGCTCATAAACGCCATTACTTCTTTGTATTTTTCAGTGTCCACTTAGGTGTCTCAGACTTTTTTTTCAGATGGCGAAAAAAATCTGTTTCTCCGAAGCCTTCTTACCGTAAATAAAGCGAACCATTAGATTCAAATTCAATTTACTCACATACCATGCTATGTTTTTCTTACTTCAACAACGCTGGCATTAAATGCTCGTGATGAACTCAATTTTGCAAAAAAAAGAGAGATTTTATTATTGGTATCCAACGATCTTAGCTTTTTCTCTGAACAGTGGAGAAAAGAAGTGCTCACTTTGTGGACTTCGAACAGGTCATGATCCTCTGACTGTTTTGATCTTAGAAACTAAGTACGAGACATGGTTATATAAGATCTTCTAAGAAACTAAGTCATGTGGCATAGCATTTAGCTGAAAGTCTGTCCATGGCACCGGTTCCCCATCTTAGTTGGATATTCCTCCGACCACTTAAAGGTTTATTATATATTATCCACAGGTATAATATATTCTGCTTCTACTTCCTTGGCTAGGCAGAGTTTACTCAATTATACACGAATAAACGAACACTAGCCTACCAATTTTTTGTTTGGCGCGAGTTGGAAATACCAAGTAAAACTAGTTGGCTCTCCACCAGATCCTTCCAACGGAGTAGAGGTCTTTCTCTTCCACTGCTTCCACCAACGGCTACTGCATCGAATACTTTCAAAGCTAGAATGATTTAATTCATTTCGGATGATATGGCCTAGAAGGGGTAGCCGCTGCCTACTCACTTTCGAAACTATATTGTTCCTTTGTCTGCGGTAATCGCCTTTGCCAGCTATTAAAGTCTTGAAATCCGTTGAAAAACTTTTCTCTTGCAGACTTCCAGATCCACTTAATCTGTAGTTGACATCATACTCACTCAGTGGGCTTTAGCTTTTTACACAACACGCTCAATGCAAATTACTTCAAAACAGAAATTACATAACATACACAAAAACAACAACAACAGAATCATCGCTCATTACGACTGTTTTAACTGTCGCTGCTCCTTTAATTTAATGCCCCTGCACATTGCAGACAAAAAAGGCAAAGCACACGACTATAAAAAAGGAAGCCAATGAGAGTTAAAAATGAAACCGCAAAATAAGCAAAATAAATGTGCAATTGAAAAAACCGAAAGATAAATATAAACATCGTTTTTACAGTTATTGTACAAGTTTAATGGAACTCAAAGTGATTGTCTGTGTCTGTGTCAGCGAAAGTGAAACAGCATCGTTCAATTGAACCACCAAACAAAGTTATTTCGTACTTTCATCCAGCGCCAAGCCCACTCAACTCTATTCACGCGTGCACATTTGCTCAGTGGTGGTGGGAGGTAATATGCAGATAAATTTAAGAAAATAAAAATGTAAAAGATTAATGCCATTCACTTCTATGTTTCTCAGCGTTATTTCCGTTCCACCATTAAGCTCTTGTGTGCTGTGGGCGTATGAGCAACATTCAATAACGGTTTTCCGTTATGACAAATCGAAGCAAATGCCAGCTGGATAATAATATGTTTAAGTGTATCGAAAACATTGAAAACTGCAAGTAAAAATATTAAAAATAAAAAAAAACATTTTTAAAATAAAATTGAAAGCGTAATAAACAGCGGATTTTATGCATGAAAATCGCAACTAAGCGAATTCTATTCATTTTTATAGAGAGCAAGCGCTGCGTGTAGCTTAAAGTAAAGGGAAAAATGAATATTTTCTTTTCTAAAATCAAAAATTTTATCGTTTGAGGAATAAATTTAAAAAGTAAAGCACTTTTTATATCATTCAAAAATGATTCACTGCTCATAGTAATTTTAAGAAAACAGACTCTTGTGAGAATGAAATTGTTGTCCAACAGAGCTACTTAAGTTCTTCACACTCATACATTTTGTCCGAATTATTGAAGTACCAGAGGGAAAAGCGATAAACTCACCAAAACTTATGCCGATCGGATCAGATCCAAGAGTTGAAATGATATAAGCATTACCGTCAATTGGTACAGAAACTAGTCTTTCAGTAATTGGTACACAAATGCATTTTTACATTCAAACGATATTTTGTAGGAACTGGCCATAACGGACCACTATAGCATTTAACTCCTTAACATAAGATTGTTCAGTTATGTGATTTTGGGTCAAAAATACTGCAGTAAGGCATTAAAGAACATGAAATTTGGATTTATTCGGAAAACCGGCGCAACCGAAGCGCACATATTTGTTCAGATGTGTAGTCTTGGATAAAAAAAAAGTCCGTCCAAACATATTTAAGAACTTAAAATTTGGTATCCTATACACGTGTATACAAATAAACTTTGGCACCGTAAACACGGGACGACATGACGCAAAAACTTGATAGGATGAAATTGTATGGAATCAATATTCGGATTCAGCACATCAAAAACCTTCGGAGAAGTACAGTCATGCTCCTGGTTACAAGGGTTAATCAAATTTCTTCGGTCATTGAAATCGGAAACTTTATTACATTGGCCCCTCCAACTAAGTTTTCTGGTGATTGAATGAATATTTATTTCAGCCGAGTGGCTAGCATTGCGTACTGCCGTTCGGAAGGCTCGGATTCAAATCCTGGTGTCGTAATAACATTCAAAAAGTTACAGAAAATTTTCTAATTGCGCTCGCCTCTCGGCAAGGAATGACCACCACTCCGAGTGTATTTCAGGCGTGAAATAAAGTTCCTCATAAAAAACCACCAGCCGTTCGGAGGCGGCTTAGTATAAACTGTAGGTCCCTCCGTTTTTTGGAAAAACACCAAGACGCAAAACCACAACTTAGAGGTGGGGCTCGGAAAAAAATCGATCCCGATGTTATAGTCACAAAAATAAAAACACTTTAACCTGGCCGAAAACAGCTTTTCCTTCTTGTTATCTTTGTAAAAGCGTCTCTCTTCCCTATTCAACTTTAGCTATCTTCACACACGGTGTAGTTGTGAACTAAGTAGCATTGTTTTTTCGTTTCGCTATTTCGCAACCTTTTCAAAAACCTGCGAATTTGTTACTCAAGATAACTTTGATAAGGAACTTGGTGTAGTCGATCGGTGGTAGCTTATTTAATGATCCTTCGAAATGTAGATCAAATATTCCGGGGACGGGTACATTTTCTTGCTTATCTAACCCCAAACTTGTCAAGAACAAATCTTACTGTAGTGAAGACAGCATTCGTAAATACGTTCCGGGGACATGCTGCAGAATCTCGTGTTACTTAATGCGCATTGTCGTTAGACGTTCACATAAAGGTTTGAATACCCGTCGTGGCACATTTTCGAAGACATCACATGGTTGTGCAGTGGACTTGTTAAGGAGTTTGACATCTAACTTTCGCTCTCCAACCGAAGAATAGTTGAACTAAAACCAGAAGTCAAGAACTGTATGAATCAGAAGCAATAAAAGTAATTGATTCCGGTTACTTCCAGGTGAATTATAGTCAAATAATTTCCCAACTTGGTGTTCTGTGTAGGGTTAGATCTAATTTCATACGTGTATGTATGTATTTCTATGGTGTCTAAACGGGTGGGGAAGAATGTGAAATGTATTCAAGTTGAGCACTAAATTCGTTGCAAAAAATTTGTGGCACAGGAGACTTCGTCATGGAGTACTGGCATTCATCCCAGTGGATAAGCGTCTCGCCACAATTCGCATCAAAGAGAAACTTTTCAACATATCGTGCTTGACGATTTTGACTGTTGGAAAATTCAGCCTTCACAACGAAGCATCCTAGGGCGTAAGGCTGACCGACTTCGCCGGGGCCAGAAATATGGTTGTCTGTAGTACTAGATTCTAGCACAAAAAATACTAGATTAGCTTGGCTGTACCCTGATCGGAAAACACAAAACCAGATCGATCATGTTGTAATAGACGGAAGACACGTATCCAGTGTTTCTGACGTGCGTACACTGCGAAGACCCAACATCGAATCGAACCACCATCTTGTTGCAGTGAAGATATGTATGCGCATCTTTGTATCGAAGAACGCCTGTCAATAAACACGAGGAAGGTTCGACGTCGAACAGCTGCAATCACAGCAGACTGCCGAAAGTTTCTCTACACGACTTGCATTCCTGCTCTCTGAGAGCACTCATCAGCAACTCGGTATACGGAAACTGAGGGATGGCATTTCAAGCTCCCTACTTACAGCTACGTAAAAGGTGTTTCACGGAGTGGAATGCCAATTGTCGAAAATGTCGATAAAAGCGCGGACATCGTCGAGTTCGACCATCAAGTAATCACTGTTTCGATTGTCCATGAGCTAAAAATTGCACAAAAAGCCAATTGAAACCATACAAAAAGAAAAAACTTATTCAAATTTACGCAAACACAATGGATTTATTTTTACTACACCTGATATATATGTAAATAGTCTAAGTTTCAGTTAGAAGGGATTTTCCCAAGGCAAACCTACCTATAAAGATGTGTTCCGACTCTCATTTTATTTAATAAACTATTTATAATTTCTATACGACACTTACCTATGTGCGCCTGTCCTCTATTAATAAGGAAAAACGAACTGAGGAACTAGTGCAAAGCTTTCATTTATTTTTTTTTTAACATCTCAAGGCAATTTTCGTGCTATAAATTAATAAATTTGCTTTTCATTACTTCACAGATTTATCCAGAAACAACATTACAAATGTAAATCGACACAATTTCCGTGGACAAAATAATTTACATGAGCTGGACTTGTCCAAGAATAAGATACTCAACTTATCCAGCACGAGTTTTGATCATTTAACCGTAAGTATGCCACAACAGCAACAATTTGATTAAGCAAACGAATCACCTCAAAGACGTACGGAGAAAATCGGAAGAAAATAAAAATAAAAATATTCTTCCTACAAACAGAAAGTCAATCAGCTGTCCAAGCAACCATTTAATACTTAATTTCAGGCTCACTGTGATTGCTCGCCTTTTGCACAAGAAACGCCCTGCCTTGAGAAGCGTCCATTTTAAAATTCATCAGAATGCGGGTGTAAAATGCGTAAATACCAACTTAATGTAATTATCGCATTGCACAGCCAAGGCGATCGGACTGATGAGTTTACTGGGGATGTACGTATTGTGAATGGTTTATGTGAATTCAATCAATCCACAGCAAGCGAAAGCCAACACACAAACACATATATATACGTACGAATATGAAGCTGATGTCCTCCTGCACTTGCTTTGCTACACGAATGTCTTTAAGCTTTTATTTACGTTACCTCGTTTAATGCTGCCAATAATTCCCCGCTCCGCCTGACTATTGTCCTCTCTTTATCCCACTGTTAACTGCTTTTTCACTTCCCTTCTTTTTATCGCTCGAACGTGGCCGGTAATAAATTTTATGTTGCTTTACTTTACTTTTATTTTAACACGCTCATTTTGTATTTGCCTTTTCCGTTTTTGTTTTCTTTTTTTTTTCTTTTTTGTAATGTTGCAACGTACACATTATGTTTCTTCGCTTTACGCTCTGCATCTAGTTAATGGTGTTCAACCTTCAGCACATGCAGATGCTGTACATGCGGGTCAGTTCTTGCCCTGTTGGAAAGCGAGATTTTGACTCAGACATTGGTCTCGAAAATATTAATTCATTATGTTTATGTTCGCACTAGATGTCTTCAGTGAGCTGAGTCTCGTATTCTATAATTGCGATTGGATTACGCTAGACGGCTTAAGATAGATCATATTTCGTACTAAAAAATATAACGAGAGAGGTGTTGATCACTTAGCTCAGTAGTGCATGTTGCATCATTGTTCTTCTTCTTTTTTACAGCCAGGTTCTTCTCTACCTAGTCTTTCCAACATAATGAAGGCCTTCCTCTTCTTCTGCTTCCACAAGCGGTTACTGCATCGAAAACTTTCAAAGCCGGGCCAGAGCTGTCGTTGTTTCTTGATTCGCTGAACTATCTTAACGTCGCCGAATAACTAAAAGAGCTCATTGTTCCATCGGCTGTGGTATCCACCTTTCCCAGTCCGTAAAACTCACGCAAAACCTTTCACCCGAAAACTCCTAACGCTGACTCATCAGATGTTCTCATCAACAATGTGTTCGTCGAGAGAGGGCTTTACTTTTCAATTGCCTACTTAACCCAAAGTAGCACCTGTTGATAAGGGTAATTACTCAGTACAAAGGAGCACCTATTGATAAGAGTAATTATGAGCTGAATTTCAAGGCTCACATTCCAAGATAGTCAAAGTTATCTATGACTTCAAAGTTATGACTGTCAACAGTGACGTAAGAGCTGAATCGCGAGAGCGATGACTGTTTCTTTGATGTCAGGAGGTATTTCGTCTTGCCCTCATTCACTACTCTTTATCGAGTCTGGGGAAGCAAAACTCACGACGCGGTTTTTGAGGCCAATTTCGTCAATTTCATCGGCGTACGCCAGCGGCACTTATAGAAGATTTTACCTTATCAATTCAGCGCTGTGGCTCCTATTATTTTCTCCAGCAATAAATTGAAGAAATCACATGATAAGTCGTTTTTGTCTGAAACAACGTTTGGCTCGGAGACGGTCTTCCTAAATCTAGCGGAGCGTTTGGTTTTGCTTAACGTCAGTTTGCACAGCCGTATAAGTTTAGCGGGTATACCGAATTCGATGGATACCAACAAAAGCAAATTGCGCATTGTTTCATAATTCCACTTCGACATAGTTGAAAACGCTGGTCAAGCAGCTGCAAATGGAAAGTTTAGAGTCAGTAATGTAATGGAAATTGTAGAGTCTTACCCTCATGCAAACACTGATTCCATTGCACACGAGCGAAACTTTGTACAAAAGACAGTTTGGAAGAACTTGAGAGAAGTTGGATACACAAATTACATGACCGCCACATGAGTTAATGACTGAAAACCTCATTAACCAAATGTATATCTTCGAATCGCTGCTGAATTGTAACAAAATCAAACCATTTTTGAATCGTAGGTTGACTGGTGATGAAAAGTGGATCTCTTAAAACAACGTCAAAAGAAATTAGTCCTAATCGAAGCCGGCACAAACGTGTCCAATCCAGAGTTCCCGGCCAGTATTTTGTATTTTGTAGGATTGGCATAGAGTCATCCACTGTGAGCTGCTTTCCTACAGGAGAGGAATTGTGCTTCATAAAGACAACTCCAGGCCACACAGATATGTAAATAGTGACTCGTCAGAAGCTCCAAGAGCTTAGTTGGCAGGTTCTTATGCTTACACCTTATTCTCAGAATCTCGCACCAACTGACTACCATCTGTACCTGTTTATGGCAAATGATTTGGCTGATGAAGAATTCACCTCAAAAGAAGCTTGCAAAAATCGTCGATACTAATTTTGGGAAATAGGGACATGGGTTTCCATAAGACTACTTTTGACCAGACCTTAAAAAAATTTATTAACTTTAATGAAATGAACATAATGTGTGCTCAAATTTTTTTAACCTTTAACCGGTCGCCCAGCGTCGAATCGACCTCGCTAATTATATCTTCGTTCATAATTAGATTATTGAGTTATGTTATTTGATTTTATAATTGCACTTTTTCTGAATTTAAGTTACTTGTTTTCGACTTTTTTGAGTCTAAACGCAAAAAAATAAACGATTATGAATTTATTATAAGTTTTTCGATTACGCGCGACCCCTAGAGGGCTCAAAATTTATTTAATTATTTTTATTTTTTGTTAAGCAACCATAAAGTGAAAATTCGTTGAAATTATATTTTATTTGCATTACTGTTAACTTCCTTTTCTCACACGGTCCACACACCTACACACCTCATTCAATATGCCGGCTTAAAAGGCAACCTTGTTGTCTGTGTGGGTCAGCAGGAGCTGCACTGCAACAAGATTTTCTGTAAGAATATAAAATGAAAGCGAAATCGAAAACTGGCTGCAGTGAGCACTTTTTAATTTGCCATCGATCGTCGCAAGTAAGAGACGGCATCCGCTTATAAATTCTCTTCGCGATTCTTGCTTTCATGCATCCAACGATATTTTTTTTTTGCGATTAGTGCAGATTAATAATGATAAAAATGGCTTGTAGCTTTTGATAAATTTACATTAAATGGAAATTTATGAACTGCGCTCCTTTGGAATATTTACCATCAAATCGTGAAAGTTTGTCAAGCAGATTGGTAAATAAAAATTACGGTTACAAATTATAGCCGAATTGTGTTCTTCTTCGGAGCTTTAGGGAGAGCTAAGCGAAATTTTTCTGTCGTTTAGATATCAGTCAGCACTTCTCAGGTTACTGTAGGGTTTATTTTTTCAAGAAAAGCTTTCATGAATAGTAAATTGAAAATACCATTTGTGTAAGTATGAAACCGGAGTTTTTGTACAGGAAAAACATTTATAATTTATAATTTAATAAAAATAAAAATATTAATTTATTCAAAGTATTGTTGTTGCTGTCTATACATTTTTCCAATTTGTGGACTCCGCGCCAAAAGAACTGTTGCTCTTTTGAGGCAAGCCATTTTCCTACATCTTCGTAAGAAGTAAAGCGCTGCTCAGTAAATGCGTGCCCCATTGATACAGACAAGTAGTAATCGGATGGGGTAAAGTCCGGTAAGTAGGCCGCGTGCGGAAGAATCTCCCAACGACTCTATCGTTTCCTGGAACTGTTTTGCTTTGTATGCTGGTGCATTGTCATGCAGCAAAATCACCTTGCGTTATCTCACTCAAAACTCGATCAAAATCGGTCATTTGTTGTCGGTAACGTTGAGTATTGACAGTTTCGATTGCGATTCGGCTGCGGTTTTCTTCAAATGAAAACAGAAAGTAGTGACGTCTGCAAATCGTAATTTGTTGGCACAAGACTCGATATGTTTACCTCTAAATAATTAGTGCTACTGAAGGAAACTCGTTCTATTGTGAGTTGAAAATCTTTGTCAGTTATCAATACAATAACAATACACCGCTGACGTGATGTGTCCGTAACTGCATGGACATCTAGCGCAACCTGTCGTCAAATTCCGGTTTCATACTTGCTAAAGCTCCGACAGTCTCCGGCGAAAGATTGATATCAACTCAGAAGTAGCTAGGGTCAGATCAAGAAACTCCCCCTAGTTGTGCTCATTGTCTTCCTAATCCAATCGATACAACATCTCAGTTTGATATTCGTCAAACCCTGGCTGAAGACATTTCTAATCAACAGACAGGCTACCTGCTGTGATCAAAGTATGATTGCCAGTTTCGAGTTAAGAGATATCCTTACTATTTGGCTCGGACATATGGATCAGAACTATGTTGGCGCCGACCGTGTACAACAGGAATAAGCAGCGTGACAGAATAGGTTATTAATTTCAAAGATCTTTATCTTCCATATACTACACCATGGCGCGCGCTTCAAGCTTATATCATCCAATTCCACTCTTCCAAATAAGACGCATCTATGCGTTTTCATACCTTGCTACCCGTATTAATGACACATGAACTATCCTTATCCATCAACCTCGCCATTTCAACACAAAACATTCTTCTTCTTGATATCTCTTCTGGTTCACAAAAGACTGCTAGGACTTAAGTGAGCGGCGGAGATCCTATTACCAGAGCAGTCTCGCTTAGGGGAAGTTCGAGCCCCTAGACTCAGACGAAAAGTTGCGCTTGATATTGACACTTTCGCTATTCACCAACCCCACATATGACTGCGATCTTGTTAACTCAAAATTTTCTATTAGCAAAGCTCTTACATTCCTAACAGAAATCGAGCTTAACGCTTTGAGGTCCTAACCGAAACAGAGTATGCGTAGTACCTCTAACGATGGCTGTCTCCGGCTTTACCATAATCATGTGCCGACAAGTGGCTGGACACAACTTCCCTTATCACAGAAAAAAAAATTTTGTTGCTATTATTATATATTTGGAGTTCCTCTTCCAATTTATACTAAAGCGCCTCCTAACGACTAGTGGATTTTTAAAAGGAGCTTTTATTTCGCGTCAGAAATTTACGAAGACGAACTCAATTAGAAAAAAAAATGTTCTATAATTTTGTTTGTCTATCGAACCAGGGCTCGAGCCTTGGTATTCCTAATGACAATGCGCGATGCTACCTATACGGCAAAAGAGGCCGCATCGTCTTCAGTGGTGGCGAAGTTATCACGGTAAGGGGCTTAGGTGAGGGTTGTGGTAATACGAACAATGATGGCGGCCTGTTTTTCATACCAAAAAAAAAAAATTTTTTTTGCTTTGCGGAAATAGCTTACTGAAAAATCTCAACATTTCTTACTTTTCAGGAGTTGAAACGCCTCAATTTGGCTGATAATTCAATACTGGAGTTAGTGCCTCGTACATTTTTCTTACTCAACCAGCTGAAATATCTCGACCTTAGCGGTAATCCGTTACAGGACCTGCCGCCGGATGTATTTCGTGATGTGCCGGTGAGTTCAAAAAACAAATACAATATAAGTACACACATATATAAATAAGAATTCAAACTAAGCATGCGTTGATTGAAAAAGAAATCACCGTTAAAATCAGCGGTTGTAAAAATAATATAAGTAAAATTGGAAATTGAAGTGGAAAATCAATTCAAACTAAATGATTTTCTCGCTGTCACTTTCCTTATATTTCCTTACACAATAAGTTCTCACTTTTATGTTTTTTTCTTGTTCTTCCAAACAGGAATTGCGCATTTTCAAATGCCGTAATTGTCAATTGAAGAAAATCAATCCACAACTGTATAACTTATTGCCCATGCTGAGTGAGCTGGATTTGGGTCGGAACGAGGTAAGAGAGGCAATTTAAAGTGCAAACTCATTTTTAAGTAAATAAGTATTTTTATACATACATATATACACATGCACATACATTCATATTAGCATACTTATACTGGCACAACTCTTAATTGTTTTTGTGTTTACAAATACTTTTGCAAGTCATGACTGAACTTCTTTCCCAACATAGGCAATGATTGCTTATTTTCTCACAACAACAACAGCCGCCATTCACTTTACTTAAAAATTATTGACCATTTCATGTGAATACACTATGGTTTTTTATACGAATTATTTTCCCTCGACTTTCAGTTTAAATTCCTCGACAAGGATGAATTTCGCGATGTCAAAAATCTCATTAAAGTCCTGCTGGATGGCAATCAACTGTCTGTCGTTGTGGACGAGCTTTTTCGCAATCAAAAGCGGCTGCAACATTTGGGTAAGTCCATCACTCTATCAGTCCATCAGTTCGTCGCGTTTAGCACACACTTTGCTGTATGCGTTATGTAAATATGTACATACTCGCACATACATGCATACAGCTTGTACAGCATAAACTTCAAATGTGATTATTCATCATTTACAGACTTGTCCTACAATCGCTTGGCTAAAGTGCCCAATGACTCTTTTCAACATTTGGGCAATTTGACATTTCTGGATTTGTCCTACAACAAACTGGTGCGTTTGGAGCCGCAATCGGTGCGTCGTCTGAATAAATTGCTCACTCTGAATATTAGCGGCAATGTGCAGATGAATTTGCATGACATGCGAGAGACGTTTGAGGTGAGTAGACTGGAAAAATAAAGTACATATGTATGTATGTATGTTCGCGGGCAGTTTTAATGGTTTCTAAATCACCAAATCGATTACTATGGAATTATGGAGATGAAAGTGCTTTGAGGGTGTAAAAGGAATTCAGTAAAGCTTTGTAGCGGATAAGTGTCATTAAAGCCGTTATATATAGTTATTTTTTGAAGGTATTAACGACTATACCTTCTGCGTAGCTTAAGAATGCCCTGATTTAATATATAAGTTTGAGATTTCAAGAGCCGTGTACTATATAAGCCACATATACGCAGTTGCTTTACTACGGATGACCTTACTTCCTTACCACTTTCCTAATACTAGGAACATTTTTTAATGCAATAAAATGTGAAACTTCAATGGTCACCTGGGTATCAACTAAGTATTAGGTCATTAAAAAGAAGTCCATTATTTTTGCATTAACTTGAAGGCTTTATTTACCATAGTTTAAACTTTTTTGATTTATATCAAATACTAACCATTTTGGTCGAAAAGCTTTTCCGTCTTTGAAGGTAATAAGATTATACCTCTCTTATAAAACACATTTACAAGAACTTAACCTTACGAAAGACAAGTGAAAAACATCAATAATGCAGTCATTTACAACCATTTCCATAAGATATGGCTAAACTGATGAACCTGTTGGTATCATCATTCATAACTTTCATCCTTTCGCTGTTGGTAAGATGCAGAAGTATTTACTTATAGAATGAGGTATTCAGGTTAATAACTTGAGGTCCTTAGATACGACCTGTAGAGATAACCAGAATAAAACAACTGATTTCAGGTTTTAGTCAAAACAGGAGCATATCCTTTCTTTCTTTAATGACGGTGGCATAGCTTATGCGATTATAGCCGAATCAATGTTAGCGCGCCCTTCTTTTCGCTCCTTGGCGCCAGTTGGAATTACCAAATGAAACCAGGTCACTCTCGATCTGATGCTTCAACCGTAGTGGGGATCTTCTTTGTAGCTACTGTCTCTTCAATCACTGAACTATGTCAATATCATCGTATAGGCCGTACAGATAATCATTCCATCGTCTGCGGTATTCGCCGTTGTCAACGCCAAAAAGTACCACAAATCGTTCGCAAAGATTTTATCTCGTAGCCTCCCGGAACCGACTTTTCAGATGTTGTCAACGTTGGCAAGAGAGATTCTGCACTGGATTTACTGGCTGACATTGTTGATGGTATTAATACTGACCCAGATAGGCGAAATTATTTTCGACCTCGAAGTTATGAATGCTGTTTACCCAAACCCATACCCTTAGCTTCATTATCTAGTCTGAAGAAAGCAGAACTCACCTCGTGGTTGTTGGGGCCAATAATGTCAATATCATCGGCATACGCCAGCAGGTGTTGGTTCGTTTGGTATCGAACGGCTCGTAAAGTTCCTTCACGATGCTTACGGAGCTTATAGTGATGCTTAAGGTCAGCTTACACAGCCGTATAAGTTTTGCGGGGATACCACTTTCATACATAGCGGCGTAAGACAGTTCCTATTCGTGCAGTCGAAGGCGGCTTTAAAATCGACTAAGAGGTGGTAGATGTCGATCCTCTTTTCACGGCTCTTTTCCAAGATTTGGCGCATGGTGAATATCTGGTCAATGGGTGACTTACCAGGTCTGAAGCCACACTAATAACTTCCAATGAATTTGTTGACTGGGGGCTTTAGTCTTTCGCTAAATGTGCTCGAAAAGACCTTATTTCGATATTAAGGAGGCTTATCTCATGGTAATTTGCTGCTTGTAAAAAGTCGACCCATTTTTGAAGTAGATGGTGAGTGGTGATGGAAAGTGGATTCTTACAGCATAAAAACGGTCATGAACGGAGAGCAGCGAGCTGGCAAAAACGGTCACTAAGTCCCTTAGATATTTGGAACGCCTGAAATAAGCAATCGCTCCTAGCTTTAGCCAACAAGAAGGGAATTGTATTTCATCAAGACAACGTCAGATCAAACACAAAGATAATGACTCGCCTGGAACTCCGAGAACTATCGTTTGAAGTGATCGCACCAAGTGTTTAGCGCCTATTTCGGTCTATGGCGAATGATTTGGCCGGTTGACAACTGATCTTAAGAGAAGCCTGTGAAATTCCTTGGTGACTTATTGTCAATGGAGGCAAGGGTTTCCTTCCTACCCTACCTTCGAAATGGGAGATGATTTTCGAGTAAATCGGTGAATATCTGACAAAAATTGGATAGCTCCAACGTAAATAAAACCAAGTAAATGCAAAAATAATGGAATTACTTTTACTTGATCTAAGCAACAATTTTATGATTTTAACTACTTCAATATCCGAGCGAATGTGTAAACTCTTTGTGTGCTCCTAATTGATTTCGAATGAAAACTATCTTAACGCCTTTTTAGCTGAGTTGAATTACCTTTTAAAAACTCCTTCTTCTCTAAAGGAGTAGCTTGAAGTCAGTAACGAGATGTTTTGGGTGAGTGTTTCTCAATTTTGGATATATGAAAGATTAACTTATTCTACTTAGCCTTCGCCCGATTAATTTATAAATTGGTTGTTTGTGGAATCTTTTTTTTTTTTTAATTTCATATCACATGGTGGCATTGAATTCTTTTTGGAAATACCCTGAAAGCCTGTTTTCAAATAGCTCCCTTTAAGTGAATTATTATTGGATCATTTAAAGCCAGAATATCTCTACGAGTACAAGTTATGCACACAAATATTATTTTAGCACAATTTCAGTAGCAATAAAAAAACTTTTACCTCCAACAATAAAAACTTGCAATAAAGCATTCCGTTTATCTTCCTCTGCAACTACTCAAAATTCGATTTGGAAATGTTTATTACCAAACTGTGCTCAACGCTATCACTTAAAAAATTTAATTTTCTCCTTTTTTGTGTGTAACCATTTGCAGGTCATACCACAGCTGACACATCTCTCTGTGGCCGATATGGGTGTGCTGCCGATGGGATTGTTAGTGCCGTTCAAGCAGCTGCGCTATCTCAACATATCCGGCAATCATTTGGACAATATGTCACTGCAAGTAATCGATCCATGCCGAGAGTTGGAGGTAAGTACATGTATGTGTGTGTGTATGTGTGTGCGTGTGTATGTTTATAAGTAATAAAATGGACAAAAACCGAAACTAAATGAAATGAGTTAGAACTTAAAATAAGTTTTTCAGCCAATGGCTAACTGAGACTGAGGCTGAGACTTGAGTTGAATTTCGTCCGCGTGCATACGCTTGTGTGTATGTGTGTGTGCGGGTGCGTCAAGTCTGCCAGGATAGTAAAAATGATAAAACTCTAACAAAATACAATGTCTAAATGTTAGCACAGCGATAAAAGCAAACACAAATTTGTATGTGGCATGCAAGCGGGCAAGTCCTGAGCGAGAAAAACAAGTAGAAAGGCAAAATGCATAAAAGGGACATAAACCAAAAATGTTTAACTAAAAATGAACACACCGTGCTCGGTGCAGTCAACGTTCGGCCAACCCAACCAACTACAGACCGACAAACATTACAAACAGCATATAGGGTTGCTCACTCGGTCATTGCATGCATGCAGCCGTAATAGCACTAACAAGTCTGTCGAGATATAAAAAAAATAAAATGTGACATACCACATGCAACATGCAACATGCCACCCACAAAAATTTGCAATATGCAAGTGCAAACTACAACATTGTTGTCACATAATTGCAAATATTTATATGTATATATCCATTGAGGACATATTTTTGGAAAGGGATAGAGTCGTACGTACATATGCATATATGCAGCTGGATTACAATTATTTATATTAAACAATTATTTGGCATCGATGTAGATCCATTTATAGGCTGAGTGTTTTTTTTAATAGCACAAAGTCAGTAAAGAGGACTTCAAGTTTCAATATAGTGTACGAATAGATACGCTAAGCTCAAAGTGAAACCTAACCTCAAATTTCTTCTTTGAATTCAAAGAAGGTCAGTCTCTTCACGAGGAAGACAAAAATTCACTAATTTAACCCACCATCCTTAAGGGATAATATTAGTATAGTACACTCCAACTCACTCACCCCGGTGTATTTCTTGAAGGGAACATATTAATATCAATATCTATAGTGCTCCGAATTTAGATTTTCTGCAGAAGGGCCATTCCATCAAAATAGAAACGTGGGCAACGACTATGGAAGAAGTGGCTACCAACCCATGCAAAGCCCTAAACTGGTACAAATCTTGAAAAAAGTGGCTTTATATTTAATTGTAATAAACAAAATAAAGCTTCAAAATAGAGACCATTCTTCTGATGTTGGCGATTGTCAAAAGTTTAAGTAAAGAGTTTTCCAACTAAAAATATTATTTTGAATAAGCTACTATTCCGGTAAATTTCTCTTTCGAAGCTGTAATTTTTGACATTTGACAAGTAGAAACTGCGTCGGTAATAAAAATGGAGCGATAGACGCTTCAACAGCGCATTGAAATGATTAAAATTAACTATAAATAAAAATATTTTCCGGTCGAATAAGGCTACTGTAGTTCTAAGTATTGAAGTTTATCCATTCCTCATAGTTCTGAAGTTGGATATTCCACAAAACGTCGTTAGTCCGCATTTTTCTTAAAAACATGGATGTTAAAGCTTGTAAAGTTCAGTTAGCTTAAGAGCTGAAGCCGAACGATCATCGTGACTTTGCTGATTGGGTCCTTAAAATGCACCAAAATCAAATAAAAATGAATTTGATCGAAAAACCATATTGACTGATTACACCCATTTCCACCTCGATCGTTACGTCAACCAGTCTTTCAGCGTGTAAATATTTGGTGCAGTTTATGATCCGATATGGACAGAAGTATATGATATTGATCTGTGCAAGGTTTACTTTCAACAAGACGGCGCTACGTAAGGAACGAAATTTTACCGCACCGTATTGTCTCTCGAAAAGGTTATCGCAGTTGGGCATCGATATCTTAGGATTTAACCTTCTTGCTTTTTGTAGCCACGAGTAATATAAGATGCCAACATTCCAAAGTCGATTCAAGAGTTCAAAGATGGGACTAAAGATATTGAGGTCACAAAGCAGCCATTTTGCGCTTTTGTCATGGAAAATTGAATAAAAAGCGTAGCCGTGGTGGTGATTAGGACCATTATTATTAGCACTGTCGGCACTCTAAGAGAGAAGGAGGGACTCGTCGCCCAGCTCTAACATAAACCTCAGCCGAAGAACGTCACTCCACGTTCAAAAGTCCCGAAATGAATTAAAACTATTCGAATTCGCTGGGTTTTTTATTTTGTTGGCTGTAATTGTGGATTTTAGCATAAGAAAATTTAACAAACTACTTGTCTGTTCTGATGTAAGATATGCTTTAAGATATTTACACGCTCCTAAGACTTAACATTTCTTAACCACAGAGAGACTCAACGGTCTCTATACAATAAAGAACGCCCGCCAACATAGACTAGTAGTAAACATTTGAGGAAACACTCCTCACATTTAAGCGATGAACATGGAACTAATGCTACATTACTAACCTGCGGTTAATTAGTCCGAATCGCAATTGTCCGCTTGAGGAATAATAAAGCGACCGGAGGCTTACCCGAAAAGTTTAATGAGGCATTAAAGAACTGACAAGATGCATGCAGCAGCTTTTTTTCAGAGTATAGCCCCACAGATGCCAAAATACAGCTTTGTAATCCATGTAAATATCAAGAATGTAATTGGATCATAACCTGAGTCTTTTAGATAATGAGCTATCAAATGTACTTTTTCTTTCAGTTTTCGGTTTCGGTGAAATTTTCCTGTGATGGAGCGCGTTATACAAGAGCAGTTTGTTGCTTAACTGATTTTTTCTCTTGTCACATTAAATTTGCCACCGGAGAGTAGTGAGTGATTCTCACTCAATAAATCTGGGTGAGAGAGAAGCGATTAAAATCTCAATTAGTAAGCGGCTTTTAGAAAATAGGAGCGGAATAATTCCTTCGAAGATTTGGATGCTTAAAATAATAAATATTAGAGGATTTTTTAACCTGAGCATCTAAAACGCTTAATAATTTTTCTAAATAAAAATATTCAGGTCATCAATTCGTATTTTCTAATATATAAATTTAATTTTACCATTCACAATGGCCAAAAGAATTTCAAGATAATTTACTACAAAATTAAGCATTGTTGTTTTACAAAATAAATTTAAGTTGAATCTTTTTTTCTATCTATTATTTATCATTTTTTTTAATTAAAAAAAAATAAAATAATTCATTAATTTAAAAAATTATCATAATAAAACATTTCTTTGTTAAATATTTCTAATTCAAAAACTAAGTATGCAATTGGGTATTAAATAAATATTTATTCCATCAATTAGGACTCGTTCACTCTATAAATGCCCACATTCTCCACAAATACATAACCGTCGTGCTTCATGCGCTCTCCCACCCAATCTCACTCTCTTTAGCGCTTGTTCCCAATTCATTGCTCTCTGCGGTTGGCAATGATTGCAATAAAAAAGCAAACAAATTTCCAATTACACATACAAATGAAAACAAAATTTACACTTTTATTGTATTTTTACGAAACATTTGCAGAAAATTCTGTTATTTTATGAAATTGCAACACATAAAAACATTCAACACCAAGAAATAGTTTGGAACGAAATACAATTTTATTTCTCAACATTTTAATAAACATATCTGCAAACATATTTAAGCGTATTGGAAAGTTGAGTGGTTTTAGTGGTAAACTCACTTCAAAAAGTGGGAAACGGGAATACATAAAATCATACATTTAAATTGTGATAGCGAATACATATTTCCATGCGGAATCGACGATATTTGAAAAATAAAGTTTCATATTTTAAATTGCTACTAATGCAAGTGGGAAATTTCACAAATTATTAGTAACTTTGCTTAAACTATTTATTTATTTGAATTACCTTCCATTTGGACTAATGAATATGAACGAAAAATTAAATTAACTTTAAATAGAGCGAGAAAGAAGAAGAAAAGAAGATATCTGTCTGTGGAAAAAAAAGTTTAGCAAATCTTAGTTGAATTTCACTAATAAATATATATGTTCTCATACGGCAAATGGAGTGATCCTAAGCTAAATGTTAATGGCTCTCACTATCTCGCTCTTGAACACCCGTACATATAATTACAATCGTCCGAGCTTCTCCTAAAATTTCCAAGGAACGACCAGAGTTAAAAAATCTACCTAAATCTTTGATGGAAACTAATTTTCTTGGCTGATTTTGGTAAGGTCGAGCCTGCTTACCTTGCGGATTGGAACACTCGAGTTAGACTTGCGGTATTTGCCACTAGGAAAATTTAGTTTAATGACAGGCTGCAACATGCATTAAAAAAGAGTAGTGGAGACGAGTAAAGCGAGACCCATTTGCAATTAGAGGAAGGAAGAAACCAAAATGTGTCCAAAGTAGTTTCAGTTCACTTCTTCAGCCTTGCATTCTGCCCATAAAAACCCCTCAGCTCTTCGGCGACGGGCTAGTATAAACTTTCAATTGTTGGAAAAACATCAAAAGAATACAAATTGGATGATGAGGTCTGCGGAAAATCGCTTAAGCAATTACAGAGCACCAATTATATTATATTGGCGAATACATATTTCGTTCTTCTGTCGGCGAACAAAAACGGTCGTTTCTTAATTACCGTCCTACTAACTATTGCCAAAGCCTGGACGATATCAACATCAGATGAGTCGGCCCTAGCAGTCTTCGAGAGAAAAGTTTTGCGAACGATTTATGGTCCTTTGAGCTATGCAAGCTATTGATTCAGCTATAATTGCGTAAGCGGTACCAACGCCAATAAAGAAGAAAGAAAAGTCACCAAGCGTCCGACTATTGAATGTGCTTTTCCAGAATCACAGTCCTGAGATATGGTGCAAAAGCTGTAACAACAACTGACGAGGCGATCGCCTCTCCGCTGGGAACGTAAGCCCTCTGAGGGTATTTCTGACCAAATATCCAAATGAAAACCAAAGATCATCTTAAGAATCCATCGGCCGTGCGGAGTCGACTTAGAAAATACTGTAAGATTTTCATTTGTTGGAAAAACATTAAGACACATACTCAAAATTGGAATTGGAACACGGCCGAAAACAACTTTAGCGGTACAACGCGCTAATTATAATATCAATCCCTTACAACGTATTTCAACAAGAAATCAAAATGTGCTTCATAAAAATCGTGCAGTTTAAAACTGTGGGTCCCTACACCTGGTGGAATAACATCAACACTCACATCACAAATTCTCTCAATTTGCTATTAGTCAATTTAATTTAAAAACTTATTTTTAGTTCTTATTTTTTAAATAAACATTTCTATATAAATTTCCATCTCTCATTTCATGCCACAACATAAACTCCAATGATGAATATGAAATCTTCAACCATTTTCTCAACTAATGAACACCAACAGTTTTTGGACTTATCACGCAACCAATTGTATGGCATCAATGAGGACACCGTTAAACGTATTCAACGCATACGCAATGTACGACTGGACAACAATCCGTTGATATGCGATGAGTGTCACATGGGAAAATTAATAAATGTCGTGCAACATGTGAGTATACATTCATATGTATGTATATATGTATGTAAATATGTGAAAAGTTGGAATCAAAAAAAGCAACATTTACATTCGTACGCTTGAAAGCAATATGGAATAGAGAAATCACTATGTTTTGCAGATACGAAAACCGATTTTTTTTTCTTTTGTTTGCATACAAATGGGACTCTGCTTGCCAAACCCATCAATGGCGCCGATGTCAATGCAACTTTTTGAATTTCAATTATTTATATGTTTTGTTGGGGATTTTGAATGAATTCTGCTTCGCTGCTAACATATTCACGCGCAATTTCAGTTGTATTTGCATGCAAATATTAGCAAATCGAAGGTCCTGTATGTGCCAACGTATGGCGTAAGCTAGAAAAGAGATAGCGATTTTACTCAGAATTTTTTTTTGTACAAGAATTTTAGTTTTTTTATGTCATAAAATATTTTAAAAAATTTACTAATCTTGAAGCCACAAATACTAAATTAAAGGCTAATGCAGAATCTTGAGCAAATAATCAAAATTTATGAAAAATATTTCTAAAACTCCATTGACTCAGAAAGCTCTACTGTGAGCTCTGAACTGTGCTCTCCATTGCACTACACCCTCTTTCCACTCCTGTTTGAGCTTTTAGTAAGAGTAAAAGCCCAGAGTTTTGTTACCCTTCTCTGTGAGAAAGGAGTCATATTTGTTACTGGATGACGTTTGTGGCTACCACAAAAGTTCTCTGCTTGTCAAATTTCTATTTTCATTTATAGACTTTTTTCTTTTATTTTTTTAGTTTTTTTTTATTTTGAGTTTAGCAGTTTTAAGTAAATTCATAAAATTTATTTATTTATTTATTTAATATTTGTTCGTAGCTGCAATGGAAATGGGAAACATATCCGATTTGCTTTTTACCCAAACCACTGCGCGGTTCGGAAATAACTGATTTGGATGTTTCGAAGTTGCATGACTGTTTGGATTACATAACCGACGAGGAGCAGAATGCAGCGAGCACTTCACACAATTTTCTCGAACGTGGTGAGTACATACAAACATTTCTCTTGTTATTTTTCACCACAAATTTAGCCAAAATCCTCTATTTGACTTTATTATCGTTTGAGTATTTTCTCCCCCACAACCTTTGATTTGGAGAGAGCTTTTTTTCTTTAAGGTTAGGTTAGGTAAATTTGGCTGATCCCAAGTGGATCCCACATAGATACCGGAGTGAGACTCAACCATTGTCATCACTCCTCATTTAGTGAATCGCTTGGTGGAAGTCAAAAATCTGCAAATGTATGTAGTGTCAATCTTTGTTAGCTTCTTTTAATTTTCAGTTTCAGCGTCGGTAACGCAGGAGAGCTGGTAATAGGTCGGTGAGGATTCAGTAAAATCTCGAGCCTAGAATGGAAATGAACTGATTTGATGCAATGCTTCGGTCAAACTTAGACCTATCCCTAAAGAAGTTCAGGGCTTCTTTCTTCTAACGGCTTTGTTGTCTCTCAAGTTCTGCCGAGATGAGAGCGAGGTAACAACTACTTATCACCAGCTAGGGGACGCAATGAGCCGGGCAAATGAATTTGAATTCGAGTCCTTCGCAACCAGATCCACACTCCTGAATCTTACAGCGCAGGGTTGAAATGGGTCGCATTGCACGACAGATGCTCATGAGAGCCATGATCTTAGCCAGCTACTTAGATAAAGTACCCCTTTCTATCTCCTATCACCAAGACTTCGTAATCCGTAACTTGTTGAGCTATAGTTAAGTAGAGTCATAACCATTGACAGTTGCAAATAAAACAACCGTCTCCAATATCTGGTTTAACTCTGTTCGACTCGAAATATTACTATGTAGTGCCCACAAGTTTTTCTCTGAAGCGATAGCCAGCTTTAGATACTCATATTGAATTGATGAATTTTGTCTTGCCTAAATGATTGCTGAAAATTGTGTGGCCGGCGGCAGATAATACTCTAACAAATCTATACAAAATGTGTCTGGAGTTGTTCTCATTTGATTTTTCAGCAGCTTGATACCTCTAACGTTTGCACCAAGTAAAAATCCAATGAAGCTCTCAGAATTTGATGATTACCTTGAGCGAAAGAATAACCACAAATTTAAACACCAAACTGCTTTACATGCCGAGAAGTGTTAATGAATAATTAAAGTTATCATGCAGTATTTGACTCAAGTGTAAACGAACAAATCCAACAAGTGAGCTTAGTAGTGGTCCCACACCAAGCTTATTCCTGGCATTTGCTACTCTTGATTCTTTACATAAAAGAGGATATTCACTTTGTTTTTGGTTTTTCTTTTTACCCTTTTTGCATTTGTCCATAATTATTTTTTTACTTTCTGTTTCCGCTTTAACATCTCTTTACAACTTTCACTTTTCTCTTCTCGTTTACGTTTGCAGGTGGCCTTAATACTCTCGCCATACTGGGTGGAATCGTATTGGTTTTAATTGTTGTCATTATACTTGCAATGGCTGTTTGCTTTTCCAAGCGTCGTGCACGTTACTATACACGGGAGGATCGACTCAATGGTGGTAAGTAGTGAAATGAGAGGGAGAGAGGATTTCCGTAAATTCAAGTTTTTACTTGTAAAAATTTGTCATGAGTAGAAATGAATTTTTTGAAATCCAAATATCAAAGTTTATTCTGAAAATTTTGCATTTATATATTATATTTATATTTATATTTATATTTATATTTATATTTATATTTATATTTATATTTATATTTATATTTATATTTATATTTATATTTATATTTATATTTATACTCTAAGCCAACGCTGTCTAATTGATATTGTCAGATATTGACAACTTCTATTAACGAAACCAGCAGCGGATTTCGAAAAGAGTTTACTCTCACCCTTTGGGTTGACCCCTTCACATATTACCAGGAGCCTTAAAGGACAAAATCTCTCTAAAATAGCTTTGAATCCCTTAAGAAATAGAATCTGATACTAATTCAATCCTTCAATAACACATACAAACAGCTATGAACCAGATGAATGCCTCGAAGGAAAACATTCAAAGGGCTACCAGTAGTGACAGGAAAGCCTACAAATCCTTTGGCTCTTACGGAATTAACATGCTGACACTAAAACCTCTCAGCAAAGTTCTCAATTTCTTTTTGACTAACCTCATAATGGCAGAAATGTAGAAACTGGGTGGAGAGGTCTCAAAACTTAACACATAACACCCAGTTTGTCTCTACACCTAATCCCGCTCTATGCGCAAACTGTGCTGGTGGCACTGAATCTAACAAAGGCCGATCGATGAAAAAGACCACGAACCAATCAGTTCTTTTATGTGATATTGAAGATATATACTATGAACTACCCTAGCGGTCGACCGCCATCGGTAGAGTTTCAAGGTCAATCTTGTTAACTTCACAAAATTAAACAGAAGTTTTGTAGGGCTGTGCCCTCTCTCACTACTGTTTTATGTTTACATTCCGAAACTCCCACCGTCACTGTAAGGTATTCATTTGATCTCATATGCCGACAAATGCTCGATATTGGTATTTAATAAGAATATTGAAAATCTATGATACAAAGTAGATCGCTATCTCGCCATATTTTCTACTTCTCAACTGTGCTGGTCGTTAATTACGCTGAGCCGATTTGGTCCCCGGAGAGTACAATGACGCAGATGAAGAGCATGTCAAAACACAGCTCTTGGAACCGACACTTTCGAATATCACCGAAACACCATGCTGCCAATTCAGGAGCATAATGTTATTCCGTGGGAACAATATCAGGACGCAACTACAATGAGTAAATCCAAAATACCTTAGTGTTTTTTTTTTTTAAATTTTCTCCATTCAGATCTAAACACTTTGGCATGCATTTGAACCAATTGGCGCAACACTTTTGCCATTCTGATTGGGGTATCATATCAACCGTCTCTTCAGGTGTCGACAAATTTTGACCTCACACTTTACGGGAATAAAAATAAGCCATGCGGTGCACCATTGAAGGTATGCTGGTACCAATTATGCCTATAGTTATCCCGTAATGATCTTGCAATATTAGTTTGCGCACAGCATTAATAGTTTCCAGAATAACAACTGGTGATGGACGACCTTCACATACTTCACCTTGGCGTAATCTACGACCGCGATTAAATTCACTATATTACCAAAACACACTAGTCTATATAATAGAGAGGCCGCAGTAGCCGAGTGGTTAGTATTGCGTATTGACATTCGGAAGGCTCAGGTTCATATCCTGATGACACCAACATCTAAAAAAGAAAATTAATTTAAATAAAGATTTAATCTAAATTTTCTAATTGCGGTCGACTCTGGACTGGGAATATCCACCCCTCCATGTATATTTCGCACATGAAATAAAGCTCCTCATAAAAAACCCTCAGCCATTTGGAGGTGGCTTAGTATGAACTGTAGGTCCTTTTCTTTGTTGGAAAAACATCTAGACGCAAAACCACAAATTGGAGGAGGAGCTCGGCTGAAGAATTGCTTCAGCGGTTACAAGTATATATATATATATATATATGTATATAATCCACGTCAAAAGTTGTAAAAAATAATCACGTGAAAATTTTCGCTGATTCAAATATTTTAAGTTGCTGCAAATGACATCAAAAATTTTAAACTTTACACAAGGCGAATTCAGTCAAAGGCAAAACAAATCTGAAAAGAAGAAAAAAGAAAAACTAAAATTAATTAATTATTTTAGTTAAATGAAAAAGGTGAATTCGCAGCTCTGATAACTCCACCCTTTTAAAATTGCCTTGACCTCGCGATAAATTTTTTAGTTGCCATATTTTAACACTAGAGGTGCCATATCCCAATATATCGAATGCCTATTTTATTAACAAGAACCATAATTCATGTGTTGAATTACAGTCGCTTTGATATACATACTCGCAAATATATGTATATTTAGTAAAAAAAAGGCATTGAGAAAATATATATTTTATGTTCTTTTGTTTAAAAAAGGTTAAAGTTTAGAATTAGTCTACAACTTGCGCGAATATTTTGGGTAATTTTAAAGCTAATCTAATTTTAAGTAAGAATTATCATTCTCTTGCCTGTAAATCAGAACGATCCAGAGGTGAAAATAATCTGAAATTAATTACAATTTGTTACTAAAAAGCGAACACTTTCATTCCACACTCTATATCCTGCCTTTTCGCAATATGTGCTTACAAATGAGGAAAGGGAAAGAAAAAACAGCAAAAAGATAGAAAAACACAGAATTACACATTTTTTACTAGAAAAATATTGTAGAACACAGAGTATCATAAAAAACGACTTTCCGCTAAAACCATTGTAAACAAGCTGTTTGTCTGCTCTCCATGGTGATATCTGCTAGCCACACTGTATTGTTTTGCTAGCTTTTAACATTGTTTTCAACACACTTAAAAAATTAATACCAAAAGAGGTGATGAGATGAAATGAAAACTAAAAAATTGAGAAAATAAAACATTTAATGCTTTCAGTGAAAGAACTCCTCGACTGCTGCGAATAATGAGCAACAAAGCTTTGGAGCTTACCTTGCGCATTTAATCCTTTGGCAGGAGCGCTCGAGACGGTTTTCACTGCAAAGGAAATACAAATGCTTTGAAATTTCAATTAAATACGCCACCATTTCCATGAAAACAAAGAAAGCCAACCCAATTCTTCGACTTTTCCCTAATCGTGAATTGTACGCAAGAAAATAAAGAAATTGAAAGAAAATAAAATCTACGAAGGTGCAAAACTTCTTGTTAAGAAAGTCGTAACCCCAAGAGCAAGCAATAAAGTAAATGCAATTAATTTAAATGTTGCTAAAGAAGGTTGAGCAAAAAAAAATACCAAATAAATAATAAAAAAAAAGTGAAAATTAAGAAAACGTACTTGTGAAACTCAAAAAACAACACCCAAAGAGTATGTTCAAGCGGAATTGTGGCAAAACTCATGCACAAACACCGTCATCTACTACCACTATTTAAAACTCAAATAGGCGCTAGAGCAAATGCTAGAAAAAAGTGGAGAAAAACGCCGGAAGCTGGAGGTGAGTAGGAAGCGGAAAAAATCTGCATAAAACACAGTCAGGCGTCGCTGCTTACCCCCGCCCCACTAACCCCTCTGGCTGCTCACAAATTGTAGCCTTTGGGCATAGAGCCAAAAAAAAACAGCCCAACGATTGCTTGTAACGCTTCCCAACATCATTTGCGAACAGCAACATGGCTTATTAACTTTCTTCGCGCTAGCACTAAAAGGGTGAAGACCACGCAAAGTACGAGGGAAAATTTAAATTACTAAAAAGATGCAGCGAAGGAAAAAAGTGAAAACGTTGAAAAAAAAAACATAAACGAAAATGAACTCGAGTGCCACTTGGGAGAATGGAAATGAGAAGAAGAGAAAAAAATGTTGCACCTAATTAATGAGGGGTCATGGCGCATTGCACAGGCACACGCTGTTGTTCAAACTCTCTCTCCAGCAGCTACATGACGGATGACGCTCGGAATGGTAATGAAAACGCAATTTGAAACGAAAGAGTCACTAAATATTTACATAAAATAACGCAAATGAAGTGCTGTCAAATTATGTGGCTATTAAATTCGTAAATATTTATTTTCGCTGTGCTGTGCTCCACTTACTTATAAATGTGTAGCAATCCAGAAGCAATAATAGCTACGTTGATGAAAGAATTTACGCATTTTAAATAGCATCGCTTATTTCACATGTAAAAAAATTATATTACACCCGACGATCAGGCAGGATAAGACAATTGAGTGAATGTAGTTGTATGGCAATTTGACAAGTTTCAAAAAAATATAGGAACGGCATTGAGACCATATTGAGTTCATGTTGAGCACACCTCTTCACCTTGAAGCTCACATGATACAGTCATAGTTTTGACCGCTCACAACAGTATAAATATTCCAATTGCCCTTTCAATTGACTCGATTGATCGATTAGCAATTAAAAAGTACTCGGCTTACCAGGTTGCCGGCTGTTCAAAGTGAAGGAACTAACATTCACTGTAAGTGTTGGAAATAACCAGAAATCACATGGTACTATGTCCGGGGAATATGGTGCTAGATGTATTTCTTCGATCCCAGAAACCGCAATAAAATTACTCATTATTTCAGCAGTGTAGGATGGCGCTTTGTCATGATGTAAAAAGTAGTGCCACAAATCTTATTTTTTGCTGTTTTCCAACAAATTTTTGAAAAATTTTGGTAAGTACTCTTCGGAGTACTATTTTGCAGTTACCGTCTGACCCTTTTCCAGTGGAATAGCAGCAACTGTTTAAGATCGGTTTAAGCAAACTGACATCATTACTTTTGCTGCTGATTTTTGGTGCTTATATTTTGTGGGTGGGCTTGCTCCTGTTGGGCTCCATACCACAGATTGCTATATAGTTCCTTGATTGTGCTTATAGAACCAGGACTCATCGCCCAGTAACGACTCTACTAAACTCGAACTCTCTTTGTGCCTCACCTGAAATTCGTGGTACCAATCGAGCTGATTTCTTCGTGTATCCCAGATGATTATTCAATATTCGCGATACACCCATGACATTCTATCCCAAATCATCAGCAATAAGTGACGTCATCAGTCGGAGATTTCGGTCGACCTTCTCGGGGCTCGTTTTCTACACAAAACTGTTCAGTCTAAAATCGTTGGAACCACTTAGAATTAATCTTTACAAACGGTGCAATCGTTTTATGTGCAATCTAGCATACACTGAATATTTGTATTTGCTTTAAATTACGCCGAAGCCCGAAGAGAATAACATGGCGACTTTCTGTTTGCGTTGGTGGTGGAATTTCGCTTCACTTATCGTCAGGGTTTTCGCGTCTCTATTTTAGCCGATTATTCAAAAATTTGAAAAAAAGACTAATAAAGAATTGCAAAGGATTTAACAAAACCAAATTGAACGCCAGCAGCTGACCGAACTTTTGTTAATCCCCTCGTATATTCAATAACTTAGTTTGGGATATTGAAGGAATACTGGTGAATGGTGAGAGGAAGGTACTGAGGATCAAAAGTGGTTATAAAGTTAACAGTGAAATGAGGGGTATAGCTCACTTTACCCAACCAACGATAAGAATGACTCTTAAGCGGCTAAACCATAATAGTATCCTAAAAGCCAAATTAGTGACGGGGCAAATAGACCTACAAAGAAAAAGAATATGTTTTTATGTATATAGCAAAGCGGCCAGAAAATAATGGCTAATAAATTATGGATTCACATTTTTCGGGAACCAAGGCGTATACGTAACTTTACACTTACCAATCCTATTCGTAAAGCTGAAACAAGCACAAAACAGAGCGCAGAATATCGAAATTTATGTGCAATACAGATGACGTAGAACTTACTATGACCAACAGTAAAGGCTGTAAGAGGGAGTGCAAGTCTGACACTATAAATATATAAAATTAAAGCTTTTTAACCGCTGAAGGGATTTCCGGTCGAGCTCCTCCTCCAATTTGTGGTTTTGCGTCTTAATGTGTTTCCAACATATGGATCGATTTACAAGGTCAACAAGTGAATGTACGGAAGCATTGCTGCATTTAATATATGTGGGTTCGGCGCTCAAAGGGTCCGGCCAAAGGATGACCTTACGCGATGAAGAAAAACTGCAGAGCTTGCAACCAGTAGAGGGTGAAGGGGCAAAAAAAACTACCATCTACTTCAATTTACAAGGATAAAAATAATATTGTTAAAACCAGAGACCAGAGAGCGGTAAGACAGTGCGAAATTGAATAGCTTACAGTTTTTCTTAAACGGACCCGAAACAGCTGACGGGTTTTTATGAAGAGTTTTTTTATTTCGTATCACAAATACTCTCACAGACCTACCGAGGAGAGATCGCGATTAAGAAAATATTTTTCTATATTATTGGATGTTGACCTGGTCAGTATTCAAATCCATTGCCTTCATTACAAAAGCGCAAAAATTTAAATCAGACAGATATGAAGGGGGACAGTGGTCGAAGGTCCGATAATTTTGTTGTCAAAGTTGTTCCACGATGTGGAATGCCAATAGTCGAAAATGTTGAAAAAATAATGGAAATCTTCGAGCTTGGCCGTCATGCCAAACATTTTGCAGAAAACAGTTTTGATCCAATTGAAAAAGGCTGGATCCACAAAGGCCTCGATGTATGGCTGCCACATGAGTTGATGAGAAAAAATATATAAATAAATGGTTCGCAGCAAAATATACCCCTTCCTGAGACGAATCGCGGCGGTTGAAGACATCACTTACAGCAACACCAAATTAGTTAGTCAGCTGTTACAAACGGTCTCCAAGCCAAGGCCAGGAAGTTTTTGTTGTATGTTTGGTGAGAATGATTCAATATGAGCTGTTCCCCTACAGCCCTTTTCTGTCAGCAATTGAATCGTCTAAAGGAAGAAATCGCTTAGAAGCGCCCAGTCTAAGCTAAACGAGAAAATTATGTTTCATCAGGACAACACTAGCCCACACACATCGGCCGTGTTTCGTGGGCTAAGCACCAAGTGCTTACCTCTTACTTCTGTTACTGTCTATGGTTTATCCTGTATAGCCTCAAAGGAAGCCTCAGAAAATCGATTGTCTAAATTTTTTGCTAAAATGCCTGAAGGATATCGGTAAAAGAATACATATTTTACATATATCTGATAAATGCAATTGAGATAAATAAAGATTTGAGTTTAATTCAAATATAATTAATTGCTTTTTATCTAATATTTAGTATTCTTGAACTAAAAACTCTCTCTGAATACTTTATGGGAATATAAAACTCTTTTCCAAAAAAAAAAAAAAAATTAAGTAATAAATACTCTGTACTTACTACGACAGGAAGCCATAATAAAATTCATTAAACATTTTAAAGCTCCATAAAAGCAGCTCATAAATACCTAAGCAGCAGAGCTTAGTCAGAAACTGTTCATTATTTGGCGTGGATTCTTACTCATTTTTTATGCTTCTGTACATGTATTGTGTTGTGTATTTTGTTGTTGTGCCCTAACGAAGCAATCATTTAAGCTCGGTAATTGCCAAAATCAAATTCCTTCCGCTGCACCAACTTCTGAAGCAACACTCCACACAATGCAACTGTATATTTTGAGCAGAGCTCAGTTGTTGTTTCGCGTTTCCGCTTTGCTACGTTAACAATATCGCTTTCCTTTACTGCCTGCTGTGCTACAGCGAGTACACGCCGGAAATCAGCTATCGTCATTTTTCAAACTCTGAAAGCAATCCTAGTGCGCACACTAACTTACGGCTCTGCTTGAAAACTGGGGGGAGAAAAATAAAGAAATACACAACATCAACAAAATACATGAAACCAATAATAATATTAAGGGCAATGATAGTTGTGCAATTGCAAAAACAAATCCAAAAAGAGAACAGCAGCTCAAGGGCTATAGTACGTATTCGTAAGTGTGTTTGCAGCAATACAAAGTAATATCGACACCGAAGGCAAACCGAAACACACACCCAAATATACACACACATACACGCACACACTTCTCGCTAGTGGCAAAACGGAAGCAAAGTTTTGAAAAACTTTCAATATACTTTTTTTTCATTGTGGCGAGATAGCGAAGATGTGTTGAATAGCACAAAAAGAAGAATCGAAAGAGAAAGAGAAAGAATATAAAATACGATCTGTGAAGAAATTAAAAGAAAACAAGTGAACATTAAAGAAATGTTGTTATGTTAGTTGTGTTTGCCTCTGGGAGAGTTGTTGGCGCCACAGAAATTATTTCCAAAAGCGTGAAATTTAGTTGACCAAAAGTTTTCTGCTCCTCAAGCGCAGCTAAAGGCAGACTAGTTTCATACAATTTTTTTTGTATCTTTGGACAACGTTGTTTTTGTACAATATTATTTATGGGTCAATAATAAGATTAGGTTATGAGAAGGTTGTTGCTTCTGGCGACCTCATATAGACAGCTGTAGGTACAGACACAGTATTGCCACACCGTGTTTGTTCTTGGAAAGGAAAAAAACTACACTGATTCTTCACCATCTACTCTTGGTCAGATAGTTCTAGCAACCAACAACAGAAAAATATTTAACCAGCGTTGACTCAGCTGAATCTAGCCTCATATATCTAGAATGCAGTTATCTTAAGAGAAAGACAGTCTCAGTAATTCCACCCATTTGAGTAATATGATCCGAATCCCATATGAGTCGCAATAGCTATTACAAAACAAATTTCAAAGTACACTATGATTAGACCCACTTGACTATTTTTGTAAATTTTGATGTGTTCTTAGGAGAGTACACTTCAAAGAAGCGAGTCTTCTGCTCCTTTGATAACAACAATTTCCAATTGAAAAACACTGTAATGGCCATTGAATCTGAGTAAACCTTCGATGAAGATCTGCCTGAACTCTTAATCAGTGACTAATTCCTATCAGATGATTCCACCTCCAGACATTCCATCAAGCTCGGGCTCAGCCGTAGAACTGTTTAATGTACTGCTCAACTAGTGACTCTGATCCAATCAGAGTTCCTTTTAAGAATTAATGGCAGGCAAGTAGACATTTCAGGGAGATCCAGCTCCAAATACGTACAACAGAAGCTGATCAAAGACCAAAATTCGCGTAATTTGAAAATCTATTTTTTAATAATCTGTAGATGTTGGTTGGATCAGGACTCGTACCCTAGCTTTTAGAACGTTAGTACTTAGTGCTAACTACTTGGCTACTGCGGCCGTCGGGGTTTCCTACGTCCTAGTAAATTAACTGAGAGCAGTGAGGAATCGTCGGAAATTGAACAGAATATTTAAAATCTCACCACGGAGTATGAGTTCCACATCGTCTTAGTAGGCAGTCAACATTCAAGCCTTCATTAACAAGCTACTCTCGTACGAAAGGAATCCATCACTCAACTTCGGCAGCACTCGAAGCAGAGAAATATCTCTACAAAAAATTCCTCACACAATTAGCAAATCTCAGAATGTATCATCGTCATTATTTTATAGATTGAATTGAGGTTTTCGGGAAAATTAAGCGGTAGCCTCTTAGAAGATCAGCAGAAAGCAGGTGGCAAACGGAGTAGTGATTCCGAGGAAAGTCAGCAACAAAGAGCACATTTAGAGACAAATCCCTGCTCATTGTTCTGTTTACAGCCGAAAGATTCGTGGAAATAAATTATCTAAAACAGTGGACAATAAGTAACGAAAGAGCTCTTAGAGTAAATCTTCATTTAATAGAGATACCGGTTTTACGATATCTTAATTAATATATTTGCTAGTTTAACTTCATGCCAAATAAAGAGAAAACCGCATGCTTATATGAACATGTTTTATAAATTAGTCTCCCATTACTAGAAATGTTTATTTAAAATCCCCTCTCTCTGTTCCTCTTCCGCAGGTGAAAGTGGCAAATGTATCGAGAAAAGTGTAGAAAGTAGCAACGGCAATGGCATTAGTGGCAGCAGTCCTTCCGATCACGACAAAACCCCGACCACACCCACCAATGAGATCAACTTCAAATTTCCCATCGATGACCGTGTCTGCACCATTGACGAACTCGTGCTGCCGCCGGCACCGCCACCACCCAGTAAAGAGCCACCATCCCAGTTGCCACCACCACCGCCGGCTACGGCTAATAGCATACTGAATGGCTTAACCTACAATAGTTGTACAGCGAATAGCACCGCCACCGCAATGGCTGCTGTCGCTGCAGCCGCCACTGTCATACCACCCGGTGCACCATCGGCAGCCGCTAGTGCAGCTGGTCCCATATCACCAGCGCGTCACAGCACAGTTATACCATCTGAAGCTATTGTCGTGGTGCTGCCGACACCACCAACGCATTATCAAACCGAACAGCAACTACAACAACCGCAACAACTGCAATTGACCACAATCGAACCACTGATCAGTGTGAACTGACCGACGGATATAAATGTTGTTAACGCCGCTACCGCCATATCCAACACAGACACTGCCACCGCATTGGCCGCAAGTAAAAATGTCAAGTCGCAGGCGAAAGCGTCAGCGTTGCCATCAGCATTAGCGGGGAAAGCGGGAAGAACGATAGAAAGAGGGAAACAGGTGGCGTTCGTAACAACAACACAGACGTAAGAGAGCTTTTAGATGTTGCGAAGAAGGGGTTTAAAATTACTTTAATTTTAATTCTTAGCATTAAGTGGAATAAAATGAAAATTACTTCATTGGAAATTACAAATTAAAGATATAAACGAAAGAAAAGTAATAAAAACACACTAAACGAATGAGAATAGTATTTGCCGTGGCTAGCAGAAATGATTAGGAATTGGTTACTTCAAATTCAATAATTAAATGTGCAAATAAGGTTATGTTTATTTAGGATGATCGCATTAAAGGGGCAAAATATGAGGGGACGACACCATTAAATTTTTGGTACAAAACCTACCCACAGAAAAAACTAAAGAGAAATCGATAAAATTGTGTAGTTCCACCATCATAATATGGGATGAAATCGGATAGCAACTGCACCTTCGTCGCATTCAGCGGCTCTCTTACCTCTATTCCCTATTATCTCATGATCAAATTTTGAAAGCATTTACCTAAAAACTCTACAAAACCAGGTAGAAATGCCTCCATTCATAGAGACTAAGTTCGTACCCATTCTTTTAAGAGCTATAGGAATAGACCTGCCATATAATAGATATGTAAATATCAACTTGGTCCACAATATTTGGTTGCACCCGAGATCGTTTTTTGTTATATATTTAACTTTATTTCGAATAATTTTATGTTTCCTTATTTTATTTTATTTTATTTTATTTTATTTTATTTTATTTTATTTTATTTTATTTTATTTTATTTTATTTTATTTTATTTTATTTTATTTTATTTTATTTTATTTTATTTTATTTTATTTTATTTTATTTTATTTTATTTTATATTATTTTATTTTTATATTAGCTTTTTTATTTTATTTTATTTTCTTTATTAAATTTATTTTAATTAATTTTTATTTTACATTACCTTATTTTATTTTTTTTATTTTATTATATTACTTTAATTTAAATAAGAAATTAACTAAATTTTATTTTATCTGTAAAGAGTCTCGAGTGGTTTTGTGGTATTCCGTTTTTCTATCTTAGTGAACCAGCTAACTGTAGTGAAATGTGTGCATATATATATGCATACTAATTCCCTTCATCCACGGGATTTAACTTTATATGCAGAGAATGACTCTGTGCTCGAGTGTAATCGAGCCATTTCCATTGATTTAAGTGCGGATATTGCGCGATTATAAGATATGATTCAATTCCGCGTTTACTAACATACAATGCTACACACAAACCTACGCACATATACATGCATATTTGCTTGCGATGGAAAAAACACTCATACCAAAGCAAGTGTGCATATATATATAGATTTGTTTTCGTGCATTATGCACGCTATGCTATGAAGGCGAAATGCGCACACTAAGACAACACCGAGTACTCAATATGGTATGAATCCCTCTCCTGCTGAATTTCAATGGTTTAAAGAATAAAAAATTAAAGTTTGCAGCATATGTAATGCGAGTATCAGCTAACAGCAATTACACCGTTATATTTCCTCGATTTTTATATTTTCTTTATACAATTGCCAGCATTTCCGGTGAAATGAAGTGTAACAAAAGTCAAGCATTAAAAATTCAGACGTCAAATAAATTTCTATCTCATAAATGCCGGAATTAATTTTTAAATTTGAATTAATTATATTTCTACAAGCTGGATTACTAATCGTTTCTGTAAGAGAGCACGCTTAAAAATCTCAACAAAAAATAACTGCGCGAAATATAACATATGCCTGTATATATGTACAACTAAATGCGTATATATTTTATATATACATATGGATATATTGTTGTTTATACGCGGCGTGAGCTTTTTAGCTATTCAGCCGAAAACCAGGCAAATAACTACTCGCTTAAAGGACGGAAGATGGCAAAAATAAATATACAAATTTAATGAAGCATAAAATTAGGCGCGGAAGCGTGCCACAAACGTTTCATTTACTTCATAAGAGAGATTAAGATTAAGTATTTAGCTAATATCGCACATAATACATTTTATAAGCTTAAGTGTTAGTTTGTAAGTGGAAATAATAGAATTATATAATAGTTATTATGTAAGTAGCGGCGACACATTGCAAATGTGATACTAAAAAAATTTGTAAATAAGAGAAATTGAAAAAAAAAAGAAAACAATACATTGAATTCACATATATATACATATACGTATGTAAATATTTATAACAGAAATGAAAAGTTTTTTATTATAAAATGATTAAGTAAGCGCACTGAAACGCACGCATTTATGTAAAATTAAAATATATAAACGCATTAGGGGCGTCCCTATATACTTCCCATTCATTTTTCAATATCTTCATTAAATTATAAATAAATTTAAATATTTTTCCATTAAGGTCAACCCTAACTTGCATACGCGTAAAATTCGAATGTGTTCCTCAACTATAAATGCATAAAGCACCAAAAATATGTTTCGAAAAATGTTTCTGTTTTGCTTTATAAGCAACTAGCAAACGAAATTTATGAAAACTGACAGTAAAACTGTTCAGTTTGAATTAGTGGCAAAAAGTGAATTGTGTAAATAAAATTAGTACACAGATTTTTCAAAAAAAAAAAAAATATATATACATATAGATATATATATTATATATACGTGAAAAAACTATAAAAAATAAATATAAATACTAAACAAAAATCTACATACCTTTAAGTGTTGTTTAGTTAGGCCCAAAAGATTTTACGATTTTATGCACAAAGCAACCAAAGTCTTGACTGCATGAAAAATAAAATAACAGTATAAATTAGTATAGTACTTTTAATTAAAAATAATTCTTTAACGTTAACACATTTAAATTATTTAAGGCAGATTTTCTTACATTTATTAGCAATATATATATTTTACTCCATGACTACGTGTTTACTTACAAATACATACATATATCTCTATTTTAGTAGATAATTTTTTTATATAGCAAACGCTAACATAAAAGTATTGCATTTGTTTAATATACATTTAAGCATAAATATTTTTAAATAATTCAAACAAATAATGTTGTAATATTAGTAAATATTTTGAGAAATCACATTTTGCATTGCATTTGATAAATGTATTAAATTTCTTTTATAATATTTTATAGCATTAATATTATATTTGGTTCAGCTCGCATATATTTTTTATATTACATACGTATATCTTATTTAACAATCATGTGTGTACATATGTATAAATGTATGTATATGCTCGAATCATAAAAATTAACAGCAATAAAAATCGATACTCAATTGAAATCTGTTGTTTTTTTTGCAATATCTAAATAACTAGAAGAAAAAAAGGATTTTTGTATCTCTGTCAAACGTCTTTATTTTCGTCTATAATTTGACCGTTAATTTAATTTTATTATGAAATGAAATTTTTTTTATGAAAATGCGTGTTCTACACCAAGCCCAACACGCTAACGTCGAGTACGAACTGCAGAAAATATCCTACCGTGAGATGATATCAAACTTTTTGTTGCCCACAATGCAAGAGCTTGACTTGCATGACATGTGGTTTCAACAAGACAATGTCACATGCCACACAGCATGCATAACAATGGACTTATTGAGAGACGGGTTCTGTGAATATTTTATTTCACGTTCGGAACCGGTCAATTGGCCGGCTATGTTAAATCTAATTGTCTAAACCGGTTTGTCTAACCGTCTTCAGTTGACGCATTGGAAGACAACATTTAAGCTTTTATTCGTGAGGTACCGGCCGAAATGTTGGAAAGAATATTCCAAAATTGGACTAAGCGGATGGAACATTTGAGGCGCAGTGACGGTGAACATTTGCATGAAATATAATTGAATTATATGTATCGTACTATCGATTCAAATAAAGAGTTTATGTGTCTTTTAATTTTCAAACTTTCCTATATATCTTAAAAAATCACCCTATACAAATAACATGATTTGCACCTGAATATAAAACAATATTTAGTTTATATAATTTGAAATCAATAAATAAATATACAATATAAATAAAAAAGCTTACCTCACCATTAAGGCGTTGCTAGGATGGTCGTTAGATGACAGATGGAAGCTCTCTTTGTGAGCAACTTCTTCCTTCATGGCCTAGCCATCACCTGTGCAATCACGGTCCCCATTCCTAAATTCTTTTCGCAGTTTCTCGTCAATTGGAAGTACCATGCGAAAACAGGTTGCTCTCCTAATGATCATTTCAACGGACTGGAGATCTTCGTTTTCCTTTGCTTCCACTGGCGGATACCATTTGACCTCGGCAGTCGTTGTCGTACAATATATCTGATACAGCTCATCATTCCATAGACCGCAGTATTCGCCGTCCTCAACTCGTAGAGGATCGTAAATCTTATGCAAAAACTCAAAAAGTTTTAACGCCGGCTCATCAAATGTTGTCATCGTGGTGGTTTCTTTATATCGAGTTTCTATTGGGTGTCTTCGGAGAGCAGGAATGTAAGTCGAGCGAAAACAAAAATTGCAGCTTTTCTATGTCGAATTTTCCAAGTGTTTGTTGATGGTCTTTCTTTATTGCACAGAGGGGGATACATATCTTGGTAGCAGAAAGAAAATTATTTGAGTCGATATCGTGTTATCAGAGCTTACCAAAGTCAAGCCCAATGGAGGCAAGTAACAAATGGATTTCAGAGAAACTTATTTGTATCACAAAAAAAAGTATCACCTAAAATATAAGCCGATAGGATCGCAATCACTGCTTCAATGAGCTCCACACTTAGCGATAGCAACTACTCTTCGCAATATCGCTCCGCTTCTCAGAAATTTAATTTCTGTTTTCATAACTTTTTTAACATCTTCGCATAATTTTTTTTTTTTTTTTTTTGTGGCAGTCACAACAGAGAAAACAAGAAAGGTATACAAATTCACTTAGATCAAAGCAGAAATGTCTAATGAGAATCCAGCATATGTATGTTTTTTTAATGGCATATTACAGCCCAAAACTTGATATGATCTTATTGATTTCTGTATTAATCTATATAATTTTCTGATTTATGATTTCCAATAGAGTTCTAAACAACTTTCACAAAACATTTCCGGGCAAGTTGTTCTGGTTCCCCAGTTTCTAAGTTTGAGGTTTTTATCCTCTATCAGATGCCAATTACTCCCTCTTTAGTTTTTGCCTCGCAGAGATTCAGCCTCTATCTTGTGCTACCATTTCATGCTGACTTAAATCAAATTCCTCGCCAGAATCCAGATCTTCTTATCAATATCAAAGTTTTGGCACAAGCATGTTGTCGCCATACATGCCGGGACTTTTGCCCGGAGACAAGTTTGGATAGTGAAAAGTGTGATTGGACTTGGTTTTAATAACTTTTGTTTGAGTCAAACAAAAATAACAATCACATACTTTTTCCCTTGGTTCCATCAAAATTATTGTTATAACAAACGACAATGGCCTGGTGTTTGTTTAGCTCAACCTAATAGAAGTTTCATACATGTTATACATCATTTATATGGAACCCAGACTTTTGTTGATTCTTCACAGGACTGAAAGGCGGTCAGAAATACAATCGAAGGGGTAGACATTCCAGATCGAAGGGCGACATCAATTGAAGAAATTTACTTTGTTTTTTATATGCAAAAAATTTTAATGTGAAAACAGGCACTAAATTTACAAAACTCCATGTTTGAGGTGTTAT